GTGTGGTGGGTCCATGGTGTCCCCCAGAGCCTCCCACCCTCAAAGATGGGGCTTTTGGAAGGTCATTGGAGGCACAGCTGACTTGCTGCTCAGAGATGGGCTGGTCAGAAGGGGGCAGTCGTAGGTGTGGCCCTGGGAGGGTGTATCTCCTTTCTAAGTCCTCCCTTCTCTCTCTGCTTCCTGGCGCCCTTCCGAGCAGCTCTCTTCAGCTACACCCCTTGACTTGGAGCCAACTATGGACCAAAATGTGAGCCAAAAGAAATCTGCACCTTTAGGATTTGCAAGTTGGATGGTTGGCCCAATGACAAAAGTGATGAAGGCAGAGTTTAGAACTAGAGAAGTGGGTTGTTTCCCAGACTATGTCTGACCGTGTGGCTCTGAAGCCCTCGGAATTGGTTAGTGGGAGGGATTTGGAAAGGTTTGAAGATACCAGCTGGAGAAGCAGTCAGAGAATGCTGTGAGCCAAGCTTGATGGGAGATTGTGGTCAAAACATAGGAGACCAGAATGCTGATAAAAAGGCAGAACACAGGCTGGGGATTTAGCTCAGCAGCATAAGCACCTGCCTTGCAAGCAGGCAGTCATGAGTTCGATCCCGGGTACCGATAAAAAGGAAAAAAAACAAACAAACAAAAAAAAAGGCAGACCACAGACAAAGCTCAGTAGGTTTGACTTTGGGAACAATGACTACTTTGCCAGTTGGACCCAAGACTATGAATTACTACACTGGTAGAACATTTTGCTCATTTATAAGACTTTGAGGACGTCTGAGATGAAAGGGTAGAAGAAATTTCAAGGTAGCCCAACATTCAGTCTGCAGTATGAGTACTGTTGAGGGCTTTTTAGCAGGTTTTATACTGAAAATCTATGGAACAAACAGCACAGCTGATTTCAAAAGTTTTGAGTTTGGCCAAAAAGGAAGGTCTAGTTAAGTTCGGCCTGCAAATATGGAACAGAGGAAGTTTGGTTGTTGAAAAGATTATCATTAAAAAGAAGCCAAGTACTTTATAAACAGGAAAACAAAAAAATGGCTTGGCGGTATCACAGGAACCAGCAAAACCTATTCTTCCACAGGCTCAGAGTTGCAGAAGTGAGACTGCCTTTGCTTTGAGAAAAGAGAGCTGAGACCCTGCTGTAGAAGGGCACCTAGGAAGTTTGTTCACCAGGATGAGTTCACAGTGGTCAGCCACCCAGGCACTAAGAGGCCTGCGCAGACCTCAGCATCCTCCACATGGTACCTGGACTCTTGACTTACAAATTAGTTTGTTTTCGAGGACTGATTGTAGATCAAGAAATAATGGAGTATACCTATAATGCATTCCAAAGTACCTCTTAACCCTCCTTTTCATAAGATAAAAAGTGTGTAATTTCCCAGAAACACCAATAATTTTCCTAGTGTATTCACCAAAAAACTATTAAATGTTTGTAGTTTATTAAAAACAACAATTTCATACTGCACTCACCATTCAAGTTGCCTTCTCTGGCTTGGGGAAGGGAGAGTGAGATACAAGGTGGCTGTTGTCTGGAAGGAGGTTCCCCTTCCATAGGAACAGGAGAAACCTGACTCTCTGGTGTCCTTTCTTCACTCCAGAGAGTCTATTCACTTGCCTTTCCTTAGCTGCTTTTCTGGCTTTTTGGAGGCCACTTTGACAGCAGTTAATTATAGGGATTATAGAAAGCACTGACAAAAATCACGTCCACATACACATCTGGGCTCAGACTGACTCTTACACGTGCTTTTCTGGCATCATGAGTCGTTGTTTTCCACTACACAAGTGGCCACATTTAGGTCCTAACTCAAGACGTTGGTTGTAAGTTAAACCTAAAATTCAGGTCATAACCCTTGTTGTTCATATGTGAGCTTTGACAGGCATGGGGGATGCAAGCGTACTGGGGTCAGGTGAGGCTTCCACAGAAGATGTCCTGGGATGTTAGGCTGTGTGCCATTGAGAGGGCAGGAGTAAAACTGAGTGGGAAGCCAAAGGTACAGTGGAGACTCCAGGAAGTTGGAGAAGCCCGGAATGTGGACCAGCTGAGGAAAGCCCCCAGAAGAGCAAAGCCAGGCCACAGAGAGGCCATGAGGGCTACTGCTGCAGGCAGTGCCGCAGGGACAGAGCTGCCCAAGCCCTTTAGAGTTCATGTCTGCTCGCCACAGCTTGCCCCGGGTGCTGGACTTGAAGTCACAGGTTTTCACGTTGCCAGCTGGGATTTGATCTTGCACTAGTTCAGTTCCTGTTCTGCCCCTACTCATCCCTTTTAGAGTAGGAATGCTTACCGTGTATCCCATTGTGTGTCAGCAATGTTTAGGTTTCTTTTTGTTTTTGTTTTTGTTTTAATAGAGGCTCACAGCTAAGAGTTTGCCTTAAATCTCAGATTTGGACTTTTCAGCAATGTTGGAACTGTTAGGACTTTGGCAACTCTTAGAGAGGGACTAAATGCATTTGGCATAAAGAGATGAGCACAAGTCTTTGGAGCCAGGAGAGAATGTTATAGTTTATATCTGAATGTTCCCCCCACAAAGCCTTATATGCTCAAAAGCGATTGCTTGAAGGGGCTTGTGGCTGGCTTGCTAGTAGGAGGTGGGGCCTGACCAGAGGAGGTAGGCATGAAGGTGTGGCCTGAAGGGGTTTCCCTCCCTCTCTAGCTCCCAGGCCTGTATCCTCCCTCAGAGCAGTGACTGTAGACTGCAGCCTGTACAAACTGTGAGCCAAAATAAACCTCTCCTTCAAGCTGTGAGTGTCAAGAATTTGTGTCTCAGCCAAGAGAAAGTGACTTGAGGCATGTAGGAAAGAAAGGTCAGCAGTCTTTCCTGTAGAACATTAAATCTTCAAGATAATTTGGAAAAGACTGCATGCCAATATACTTGAATAATCATAGTGTTCATGAGCATATTTAGAGCACTCAAGGACCTTAAAGAAGGAAAGTTTACTGAATGTGTTTGACAAGGGCTTTGTTTTTTATTTTAACAGTCTATAATTGTCAAAACCAAAATGTTTAATTGTTGATCCCCTGAAATCTCAAGATTCTCTCTGAAAGTAGATGCTTCAGGGTCAAGAGGCCTGTAGTAGCTGCTGCTTGAGCTGACTGCATAATAAACTGTTTACCGTGTGTTAAACCAAGGGCATAAGGTGGCCTCAGCATGGAGGTGGACCGTATGGGGACCTAAAAGTGCCTCCCCAGTGTTTGTGAAGCATGCAGACCAGGCACTGAGAGAGAATTTAGACTATCCCCCTACTGCCCCAGAGCAGATTCTTTCGTGAACTGGCCTGCAGGGGTCCTCACCTCTGACCACGCAGCCTGCTGTGTCCTCCTCTCCTGTGCCCTATGGCCCACACTCATCCTCACACCAAGCACTCTGGCTTCTCCATGGCCAAGTTCAGGCCACGGAAGCCTGTGTCTTACTTTTGCTCCGCTCATCTCCAGTATTTCAGCAACAGATGTCAGGAGGCTGCCTTTTGTCCTTGGGGTCTCTCTTAGACAGTTTGTTAGCGCGAGTCTCAGCTGACAACTCCAAATTTGTGACAGCCCCATCCTACTCTGCCATTGCCTGAGCTTGTTGGTTTCCTCCTGCCCATCCGCTGCAGCTTTGTATGAACTGTGGGTCTGGTCTGCTCTCTGCTCCACTTGTCTTTTCCTCAGTTCCGGTGAGATGCACAAGTGTTGGATAAACTTGACTGAGAGGAGAAAAAAATCTATAATTTGCTCAGGTCTGCATGGAATGAATGGCAGAGCTTCTCAGATTCACTTACACCACATGGCAGGGCCATCAGGGCTCTGCTGCTGGTGCCGTGCTCTTACTACCTGAGGGTTATCTCATTCTCAGCAGTGCAGAATGGTAGAGCTTTTCCTTTGCCATTGCCTGCAGAGTCTGGTTTATTCTTTTTAAATCTGGCAGTAGCAGCTGCTTTGGATGCTTTGAAGATACATTTCATTTATAGAAATTCTGGAAATTCAGAACCAAGTTTGAGGACCGAGGTAGAGACCTTGCCTAGCATGCACAAGATCCTGGGTTCCTTAGTACAGCAAAAAATAAAACCACCACGTCTGATAAATTAATTTGGATGATAAGCTAGGAAGTCTGTTGGAGAGCAGGGACATAATTCTATAGTGACCATAAATAGGCTTTTCTCCTTACAATTGGGCCTAGAACCAGGTGTGGTGCTGAGGCAGGGTGATCAATGTGAGTAAAGTCCAGCCTGAGCTAAATAGGGAGACCCTGTCTTTAAAAAATTACAGATATAGGGGCTGGGGATTTAGCTCAGCAGCATAAGCACCTGCCTTGCAAGCAGGCGGTCGTGAGTTCGATCCCCGGTACCAATTAAAAAAAAAAGTTAAAAAATTAAAGATATATATATTATAATAAATATACATTTATATTCATTCTTAAAGAAGAATATTAAAACAGGTTGGAGCCAGGTGTGTTAGCACACTTTTAATCTCAGCACTCAGGAGGCTGAAGCAGGAGGATCACTGAGTTTGAGACCAGTCTGAGTTACATAGCAGAACCCTGCGGGGGGGGGGGGGGGGCTGTCGATGAAAGGCATGTTAAGAAATCAGATTCTACTAGAGCCAGGGATATAGCTCAGTGGCACAGCATCTGCGTAGCAAGCATCAGGTCCTGACTTCGAATCCTGGCACAGAATCATGTACTTACCTGTTTCACATCAGTTTTGTTTTTTAAGAAATCATTTGATCTAATTTGGGGGGCTGGGCAGTGGTGCTCAGAATTGAAGCAGCCCTCACTGGTATGGTACTCTACTGGCTTACATGCAGCAGTTTTATAAGGAGTCATGATAGATTTGTGTCTTATCTATTAGCAGTCATGTTCCCAGAGAATTCTACTTTGACTCACTTGTGTGGCTTTTCATCACAAAGTAATATGGTCACTTCTCAGGACTAGACTGGATTTGTCCAGTCTCACTTGCCAGAGAAGGTGCTGAGGTCTTTGAGGGGGCAGCCTGAGCACCGTGTCATGTGTTACTGGTTTCTTCTGTGTTTTAAGACAGAACATTCTTCACGGCCCGAAAGGAGAGGAGACGTGTCCGGGATGTTCGACGGCTATGATAGCTGCAGTGAGGACACGAGTAGCAGCTCTAGCTCTGAAGAGAGTGAAGAAGAAGTCGCTCCTTTACCCTCCAATCTCCCAATCATCAAAAACAATGGGCAGGTGTACACATACCCGGATGGGAAATCTGGCATGGGTAAGTGCTGTCAGCTTGGCTTTGTTGGGAGATCACTTTCACTGGTTGCTTCTGTCATCTCCGGACCTAAAATTTTCAAAGAAGGCTGTCTTGTCTGATAGAGCCTGAACCTTCACATAATAAGATCACTCAGACCAGACCACTGTGTGATCGCTTTGTTTCTGCCTGCTTCCTCCTCGGAGTAAGTGGGACAAAACGAAAAGCAAAAAGCCCATTGAGAAACGAAAAGGAGACATAAATATTAAGTAGGTTAAAACCCTAAGTAAGCAAAAGCATGAAGGGTTGCAGAGCCGAAAGGGCTGTTGAGGACGTGGCTCTTTGCTCTCTGATGCTTCCTTGTCTTTAAATACTCACAATGATGAGATGGCTCTGCTTCAGAAATCACTTCCCTTGTTTTGGTATCTTTTTTTTTTTTTTTTTTTTTTTTTTTTTTTTTTTTTGTGGTACCAGGGATTGAACTCATGACCTTGCACTTGCCAGGCAGGCGCTTATGCCACTGAGCTAAATCCCTGGCCCCTTGTTTTGGTATCTTTAATTACTGGAACGTCCTTTGTATTGAAGTGCTCCTGTCCTGCTCCACTAAACTTTTGAGGTGGAAATATGATTTTCATTTTGTGTCAGGCGTAACTATGAAAGAAAGTTTCATGAATGTTTTGGTTTGAGGTTTTGTTTGGTTGGTTGATTTTGGGCGGATTTTTTGGTAGTGCTGAGGTTTGAACTAAGACCTCACACAGTTTAGGCAGACTCTATCCCTCAACTACATCTCGGGTCATTTTTTGTTTGTTTGTTTATTTGAGATGAGGTCTTGCTAAGTTGTCCAGCCTGGCTTTGAAGTCTCGATTCTGCTGCCTCAGCCTCCTGAATAGTTGGAATTATGGGTGCACACCACCCCCAGCTTGTCTTTGATCAGAGAGTTGCTTTGGGGGGTGCCCTAGAAGTAGAGTGTATTTTTCCACAGCACTTGATGTCGCTTACAAAGCCACACTAGGGGCTGATGGTGGCTCCGTGGCAGAGTATTTGCCTAGTGTATGGTGTCACCAGGACAGAACACTGCTCCTCTAACTTTGTGTAAGCTTCTCTATCATTTGTGTAAGAGATGGAAGGAATTTTCAAGGTGTATATTTAAATAAAAGCCTCAGAGGTGTGAAAAAGTTACTAAAATGTTAAAATAAGAAAAATAAAATATTAGATAAAATTTGATTTTATTACACGAGCATAATGTCAAAATGTTCTTATTTTGTCAATTAGCCACCTGCGAGATGTGTGGGATGGTTGGCGTGCGAGATGCCTTTTACTCTAAAACAAAGCGTTTCTGCAGTGTTTCCTGTTCGCGAAGTTACTCGTCCAACTCCAAGAAGGCAAGCATTCTGGCCAGACTTCAGGTAACGGTACAGAAACCTTCCTGTTCTATAATCTGTGTTTCAGGACCGTCACCGTATCTGTCATCTGATGCTGGTTCACTACTCCACCCCTGCCCAGCTGGCCAGTGACTTTTTTGTGTCCCACATTTTTAGGAACTGTGTGAGCTCCAAAGTTTTACAAAATTGAGTTACTTTTAAATGGGACAAAGCATGCTACCCAAAGTGAATTATAAATTTTGTAAAAATTAAAAATGCCTACCTTTTCCAAATAAGAAAAAACAAATTTCTGTTTCCTTTCAAGTTAGTCTCAAGGTAGACTCTTCCAACATTTGAGGGAAAATGATTTCTCTTCCATATTATTTTCCCGTCGCCTTTGTTTGGTGCTTTTTTCTTTCTTTTTTTTGTGATGTGGTGCTGCTGCTGAGGGCTGACCCAGGACCGCATGCCTGCCAGGTTTGCATGGCTTGGTACTTCTGAGGACAGCCCATTTGATACCTTGGCCAAATGTCCTTGGTTAGTCCAGTTAGCCTTTTTGAAAATATTCATGGAATGAAAAGGGAAAAAAAATTTTAACACGTGCATCAAGGCCTAGAAAACAATGGAGTCTTTGACTAAGTTGTTGGTATTAGACCATATAAACAATTTTTAAGGCATTACATAACCAATTTTTGTAATCACTTTTATTGGCGATCACAGTTTTCTTTTTCTCCCTTAATTTACTGTGATCATTACATTGCACTGAATGGGTTGTGTAAATCCCCCACATGAAGGAAATACATCACTTAGATGTATTTCTATATTTCAGATAGACAGCACCTAAAGATGCTGAGCAGTGGTCTGTACCCAAATGGATGGCAGTTTGTCACCCTGAATTTGGCCATGATCATTTTGTCATTGATCTTTTGCGTTAGCACTAAAGGTATAAACCTCAGTCACTTGCTCTTTGAACATTAAATTATCTTCTCTTACCATATAAATAGCAATGCTTGGCAACCTGCATGAGTGAATAACCACTGGTTCTATCCACTATAAGAAGAAATCAAATATCCACCAAGTTCATACTTTAACATTTTAGGGGATAATTTTTATTAACATATTAATTTGCATATAGCTGTTTTAGTCTGTGCCAGCTCTGCTACCCATATTAGATATCTGTGTTGTAGCAGATCGCCAGAAACATTTTCTCATGTTAAAATTCCTTGTATGTTTCCTCTGCTTCAATAATTTTCTAAACCCTCAATGTTGACTTAAGCAGAATGAACAGTATGCAGTCCTGTTAAATTTCTGTGATGGGGGCATGACAAAGAATCCTGTTTACTTAACTCTTCTTGTTTCAGGGTAAGCCTCCAACAAAGAAAGCAAAAGTTCTCCAGAAACAACCTTTAGTTGCTAAACTAGCCGCTTACGCGCAGTATCAAGCTACCTTGCAAAATCAAGCAAAGACGAAAGCAGGTAATGTTGGTGAATGGAGCAGAAGGGGCATGCTTAATACTGATTTGTCTCATTTTAAGTAAAGACATTTGAATTTTGGTTTCGTATAGGCCATTTCTGTGCCCCACTAGCACACTATAGGCTTCCCCGTGGTGCTGTCAGAAAGGTGCTCCAGACGGGGCAGTGCCGGAGCTTATTGCAATTGCCGTCCCAGTTCTCCATGCAGTGTAATGAGCCTGTGGGCAAAGAAGTTACACATTTAGCAGAGTCAGGAGCAGAAAGTAACAAGGGCCTGACTCTAATAGAAGATTCTTTATATTCTCCCACTTGCCCCCAGTACTGGGGAGTGAACCAGGGACATTCTGCTCCAGCTTATTGTTTGTTTGTTTTGAGATAGGGTCTCACGAGTGTCAAATTTGGTGCCTCCTGCATCAGCCTTGTGTGTGACTGGGATTGTAGGCATGTAGCATCATATCAGGCTATAAGTTTAATAGGAGAATAAATGCAAGAAAATAACTAGACTATAAGGCAATTAAAAACCTTAATAAAGCCAGATTCAGTGGTAGGCATCTATTGTCCTAACTACTAATAAGGCTGAATCAGAAGGATTGTTTGAGACCAAGAGTTTGAGACCCCCTGGGAAACATACCGAGACCCCCATCTCAAGAACAGAAAGTGTAAAAAAGTAGCAGGTGGTAGGTGCGAGGCAGGTGACCACTGAGGGGCGTAGTAAGAGCTGAATGGGCTTTGAAATACCAAGCAGCCACGTCAATGTTGGTTACCCTGGGGCAGCTCAGCTGCTTCCCACCGCCTAGAGCACCGGTGCCTCACTGTCCAGGGTGTGTGTTGCGGGAGGGAGACTTCAGAAACTGCAGTTTGCAGCTACAGCTTGAGTGCCCTAATCAGGAAATGTAAGATCCAAACTACACTGCAACCTTTGGATCACCCGTCAGCTCTAAGCAGTGTTTCACGGCCCACCCAGGTGGGTAGCGCATACTAGTGTGGCCCTGTCTCAGAAAAACAAAATTCTGAAACCTGAAACAATTCTGATCCCATAAAAGGTATTTAGTGAAATTCTTCAGTTTTTACTGAAAAAAGGAAACTTTAAAGAGGGATAAATTACTCCCATATCCTTTCATAGTTTAATAATAGCAGCCTTCTTATTAAGAAAATTTTGAGAAGCCAGGTGGCAGCGCACACCTGTATTCCCAGCAGTCAAGAGGCTGAGGCAGGAGGATCTCTTGAGTTCAAGGCCAGCCTGAACTCACAGTTGAGACCCTGTCTCAAAAAAACATTTTTTTTTTGAAAATTATATCTGAATTTATTCTGTTTCAGCAGTCTCCATGGATGGTTTCAGCTGGGGTAACTACATCAATAGCAACAGCTTTCTAGCAGCCCCAGTCACCTGTTTCAAACACGTGAGTATGCAGTTGCTCACCTTACTGTGAAACTTAAGTCATTGTTAAATCTTGAGGGTACCATGACACCTAAGCATCTAATCCTTAAAATGAGATTGCTTCTCTCATTAATTATGATTACCTATTAATAGCTAAAAATAACTGCTGTAGGTTTTACAAGTAAATCGTCCTGTAAAGAAATTGTGGTTGAGGGCAGGGGGTAGCTCAGTGACAGAGTACTCGCCTTGCATGTGTGAGATCTTGGGTTCAGTCCTCAGCGCTGAAGGAACGTCGGGAGCTGCGATTTGAAATTATTTTTGAACAAGGAAAGTATTAGTTCATTCAGTTTTCATGTTAAGTTGAAGCATGTGGAATTTTTGGGAGTATCAAAAATAGTCACATGTTGACACTTGCACTTGGCTCAACCAAAGGGTAGAAATTATCCTTTGTACAGGTTGCCTGAATCTTTGTGATTTGACCAGATGATTCAGAAAAGGCAGGATCTTTGAGCTTGGTTTTTGTCTCCAAGCATAAAATCTCAAAAACAAGGGAAGGAACTATTAGTATTGTCGTTTTGTGAACTAAGCAGAAGCTCCCCAGCCAGGTGTTCTCTTCAGAGGACCTAAGATAGTTCAGAATTATGTCAGTATCTACTCCAATGACAGGTTCTTTCCTTTTTATTATCTGTAATTCTCCTCAGTATTTTTTAGCTTGATAAGAAGCTTAATTTACATTTCAGGTTTTCTCTGCTACTTTACATGGGTCAAAAAACAACTTTTATTTATACTTTATTTATACTTGTTGATTTTGGACTTGCCTTACATCGTATCGTGTGAACAAAGCAGTTTGGTTTGCTTTGTGGAAATCCTGGTGGAATTTACTCTCAGAGCCAGTAAAGGATCTTTCAAAATCAGGTGGTTCGGGGCTCTGGATTTAGCTCAGTGGCATAAGCACCTGCTTGGCAAGCACAAGGTTATGAGTTCGATCCCAGGTACCGCCAAAAAAAAAAAAATATATATATATATATATCAGGTGGTTCATTCAGTGATAGACACACAGATTGAAGCCTAGTTCCTTTACATGCTGGCTTTTTTTCTTAAAAGTACAAACATTAAATCCTACATCAGTGACATGGAGACTGTAAAAACAGTTTAAAGCAGAATCTTACTCATCTCCGTGTGAAGTAGGCAATTTATGTTGCTGTAATGTTGATAAAGATATCATATTTGTGAAATATATTGCATAGATGTCACCAGCAGCTTTAAAGAAAACTGCAAAGCAGATCTTTAACTCTCCTTTTGGGGGCTAGGCATGGTAGAGCACTCAGGAGGCTGAGGCAGAAGGATTGCCATGAGTTTGAGGCCAGCCTGGGCTACATAGTGAGTTCAAGGCCAGCCTGAATCTCAGAAGAAAAAAAAGGGTGGGGGATACAGCTCAGCAGTGCAGCACTTGTCTAGCAAACATGAGGTCCTGAGTTTGATTCCCAGTACCCAAAAGAAAAAAACGACTGGGGACTTAGCTCAGTGGCACAAGTGCCACCTGGCAAGCACCAGGTCATGAATTTGATCCTCTCTTTTTTGGAATATTGCTTTGTGGTACTAAGAATTTGGGAGTTACAGTGAGTTCTCAGAACAACTATTCATCTCAGATTTCTAGAACCTTGGTCTGTCGTCTCCTTTTGAATGGCCTTCATCCCTCTTTAGGTCTTCTTTTTATGTTAATACCATGAACCAGGTTGAGCCATTTTATGTAAGTAGTCAGGATATTTTTAAAATAGCATTTGCAAGTCCCATGAGTGTGTTTTGTTTCCTGTCCAGAGTCTACATTAAAGTTCTATAATAGGGCTAGGGATATAGCTCGGCAGCAAAACACTGGCCTGGCAAGTGCAAGGTCCTGAGTTCGATCCCCAGTACCGAAAAAAAAGTTCTATAATACAGAGATAAGAAAGAAAATATGTTACAATAGAATTGATTTTTATGTGGAGGTTGCCCTTTGAGGCTGGGGTTTAGCTGAGCGGCGCAAGTGCCTGACTGGCAAGCATTTTTTCTGTTGCCTTAGTTAGCACCTGCATCAGTGGCATGGGTGTAGAAGACCTGTGGAGCAGTGGGAGCAGGAGCCCTTGCCTAGCGACCATCTTAACCTTGAAGCCCACTGCTGATACCATATGGCCAGTGAGGCCCTAACCCTAACCCCTTACTCTAGATGTTGTACCTGCCTTGTCACCCACTTGAGCACAGGTTAGAGCCCTTCTTGCTCCAGGAGATTGGTTTTAAACATAAAAGTTTTTTTAAAATGCCAGGCATGGCGGCACATACCTGTAATCCCAACACTCTGGAGGCTGAGGCAAGAGGATCACTCAGAGTTTGAGGCCATTCTGGGCTACAAGGTGAGTTCAAGCCCAGTGTGAACTACGTATTGAGACCCTATCTCCAAAAAAACAGTGTAACACAGAAGCAGAGCTGTTCTGTAGCCACAGGAATTGGCGAGAAGGCCAAATCTGAGTCCTGCCCACTGGTCCTCAAGCCAGCCTCTCCTAGAGTATAGCTGCAGATAGTTTCCCTCTTTCATCACTTGGATGCTACTGTGATTAACAGTACGATCGTGAGACTTGCATTTAAATTTCTGGGGATAGACATTGTGCAAGTTGAAGGTAAGGCTGCCATTCAGATCATTGCTGTAATCAGATAGTGTGGTTACTAAGTACAGCAGTGGTTTGTGTTTTTGTTTTTGTTTTTTAAATAACCAACATGAAATTGAATTTCCACTCCTGCTTAATGTATCTGCTTCAAAGTCTGAATTAGAGCTGCCGTATACAGTAATGCCTCGGTTCAAGAACACTTCGAGCTGGCATCCTGTTGGACCTCTAGAATCCCAGCTCTTGGAGGCTGAAGCAGGAGGACTGCCATGAGTTTGAGACCAGGCTAGGCTACATAGTGACAACTGTCTCAAAAAGCAACAACAAAAGAAAGCTTCTGTTTGCCAAGAATTGGGTTGGCACACAAGCATTTGGTAAAATTTTGCTTCTGTTCCTGTACTCTGCACCAAGTGCTGAACAGGACTACAGCCATCTGCCCAGAATTGTGGAATAAATTACCTTCATGAGCCAGAGTACCACTCTTAAATCACTCGTTTTAATCTACGAGGTTGTTTCTCAGGCCTTTTATTTTGGCCTCAGATTTCCCTTTTCCGTGATAGTTTCTGACTCAGACCTCAGCATAGCCAGAGTAAGAGGAAGTGCAGCACTAGACTGGCAGGAAGAGCGCGCTGCCAGGGCGCACCCTCAGACAGGGAACCCAGAACTCCGAGTCTGCTTTTCTCTCCTTCCAGACTGTATGGCTACAGAGCGGAGACATCTTTAAAATCTTCTCGTTTACCTAGTCCATCTCCTTTAAATGAAGGCATACTTGCTAGTTTTTTGAGTAGCAGGTGTAGAATCTTTACCCTTGGGTTTTTAAAAGTCTTTTCTCCAAGTTAAGCTTTCTATTAAGTCCCTGAAAAGTGTCCATAGCCATAAACTATGGAAGGACATCTCCACAATACTAGTACGATACAGTTCCGGTTTAGAGGCACCTTGTATGCTCATGAGATTCAGGTTACAAGGGCACTTCTAGCTGATTTATGTATTAAGAACCTTTAGCTTGGGCAGCCCACCTGGGACCCCTCTTGTCTCTCAGAGCTATTCCCAGTCCCCATTCCTGTTCTCCAGTAAATTATCCTACGCTTTAAAAAATTGTAAGCATCCTAATTTTTTTTTAACTTTTTAAAGACTATAGTCTTTAAAATTGTTCATCTTATGAAAGTAACTAAAAATACTTCTTTCTCAGGTATTATGGAGGGACCGGAATGTGTTAATATCAAGTGTACATGAAGCCATAGAAAAGCTAAAATTCCATTGCTCCAGTTACATATTTACAGAGTTAGAATTTCTTCTCTTGGGTATTTCAGCTATATACTCTTAACGGTTTATTGAGACTGTCATCGCTAACCAACATGTAATCATTTTGTACACCCTTAAAGGCAGTTGTGGTCTTGTGCAAAAGAAAGTCCTTTGCACACATGGATACTGTGACCTTGAAGCTCAGGCATAGGCTTTCATTTTGTTCCTACATATAAACCTGGTGTTAATCACATTACATTCTCATTTTCTTTTGTACAGAACCTAAATGTCAATTTCTTTGGAGGAATAAGATTATCCTATTTGTAACATGTCATACATAATTTTTAGGTTTAAGGACAAAAAAATAAAAACTCTCATTTGTATGCATGCAGTAACTTTAAAGTAAAACTCACACCCCACCTGGTAGTACAAACCTGTGTAAGCCCACACTAGCGAGGCTGAGGCAAGAGCAACAGAAAGTGCAAGGCCAAGGCCAATCTGACCTACACAGTAACACCATTTTAAAATGTATTATCCACGTGTGTTTTCTTCAAGTTCATGATCTTATAGGTATAAGTAAGATTTCTTTCTGGGGTTTGTTTCTTAACCTTAACTTGCACACAAGGACTCTAGTGACAATTGAAAATTAATGTGACTTTCTCCCTTATAACTATAGAGACTCTTCAGTGTGTTGCTCAGATGAATGACTCCCTTCTAGTCTCTGTTAGAAAGTTAAATTCACGTCTGGCCCCAACCAGGCACCATCTGAAATCGCTGTGGGAGTGGTGCCGTGAAAGAGCCTGTAGCAAAATACAGGGCCTTCATGTAATGAAAATCATGTTGGAAAGCCTGATAAAAAATGTTCTAACTTGGTCAAGAAGAAAACAAGGCTGAATCTGAATTATTGTCTGTCATTGGAGCCTATTTCAGGATCTCCTAATGCTGAAGCAGTATTGGTTTAATTGTTTTGCTTAATTACGGAGTGTTCAAAGCCTTCCTGTTAGTGGTCTCCGTTCCCTGTTTTTAATGCATGCCTGTCATTTGCATCTCCTTCATCTTCTACTCTGAATATTGCATTTCCTTTCATCCACCCCTAAAATAAAGATTCTGGTATCAGATCAGAAGGTGAGTGGACTTTCTGGAGAGGGTAGGAACAGTTTGTTTCTTCGTGTTGCTATTTTGGGCTAAGTGCAGTAAGCAGCATGTAGGAACTGGAATTTCTTTCTCATTTTCTTCCCCTCTTCTCCTGAGTAATTGACTGTTCTCCGTTAATGCACTTCAGTAACCACGCATCTATCTCTCAGTCTGAGTTACTGTAAAGATGGCTCTGCATACATGTGCCGCACTGTGGGATTAGATTCCTTCTCAGCGACCTGTTGTGCAGCTTCAGTACTGCCCTCTCGTAGTCTCTGTTAACACTGAAGATCATGTGTGGCTGTCAGCAGTTTTAGGCTGGCAGCCATGTGGCGGAAGATCTCTATGTGTATCCTCTGAATACTGTACTGGCCGTCAGGGCTGTTGGACTATCTGGGGTGTCCTGAGTGCAAAAGAGTTAAGACTTGTGGCCCAGGTCTCTGCTGAGAAGGGCAGGTGGAAGTTATCATGCATTTGTGTTGGGGACCTCGCAGCATTTGGATTTGGCCGTGTCCTGCAGGACCTGATGACAGCTTACCTTGCAGGGAAGGAGCGTCGCTCCCAGATAGCTCTCACGAGAGGCCCTGGAGCAGGAAGTGGTGGAGCAGATCTTCCTTGTTTGGGAGGAGCCTGAGGTGGACCTCGCGTCCTGAGTCTGGAAGGTAAATTTGTTGTTACCTGTAAATGCTGGTTCTGCTGGTTCATGCTGTGCCAATCCAGACTCGCAGAGGTGTCCCTCCTGCCAGCACGAGAAGACAGATGACTTGGACGAAGATGGCTGTCAAGCCCTGGTCATTTAGTCTTCCACACTTACAAGTATTCGTTTCAAACAGAAGGGCAGCTGTACCTACAACATCACCTTACTACTTCAACGCATGGAGCATGCACTGCGCTGTGACCGTGCTGCTCTTTCCTGTTGATGCTGTCTGTGACTCTTCATTTTTTTCAGAGAGTGAACATATGGATTGGTTTAAGAGGGCCTAGCAGAACCACAATCTTACAGGCAAGAACAAATGTCACTTTCTGCTACTTTCTCCTATACCAATCCAGACTGCAGGCTCCAAAACAAGCTCTCCCACCCCCTAAAGAGAATAGTCCCTGTATTTTTTTGAGTATTTTGACACTTTGTTTTCTTTAATAAAATGAGGCAAAAAGTTATTTTCTCCAAATGAATGTTGTGGCTTTAAAAAATAAAAGAACGTTGACAGGTTGTCCTGCCTAACTAAAAACGGAGTCCCGTCTGCCACATTCACTAAGCGGTTTGCCACCCGGACCTGCAGCTTATGAGCGTGACCATGGCTCTTTCTTTTTGGACGATAAAGAAACCCGGTTCACATATTTGGCAGTCAGGCAAAGAGGAGTGGATGTTTTACGTCAGTTTTATGTGTGCATCTTGCTGCACCCATCTGCTCTACCTGCTCGCCCTCCCAGAAGTGAGCAGCCTCGGGACCTGCGTGTGTTAACTAGTCTGTGCCACCCGTCTTCCTCCCAGCTTTTCCTCCTCTGATCCTATCTGCTGGCAACAGGGATGGCCCTACGGTCTAGAGTGATAGAGGGGGAGACAACAGACCTTGAAGGGTCCAATTTAAAAAAATAATCACAATGGTTTTTTTTCCCTAAACTTAGGGTGATAGCAAGGATTCCTTCCCAGAATCCCACGTAGCGGAGCTGAGGCATGAAAGCATGTCTCCACGTAGCTGAGGTGTGCTCTCTGCTGCCCATTCAAAGCAGCAGTCACTGACTGACTCTGTCTCTGGGTGGTAGGCTTGTCCTGGCTCAGTGTTATGTGACAGTCTCTTCCTTCTGAAAGTGTAAGCCATGCGAGCAGCTCGGGATATTAGGAGGCTAATCCTCCTGTTCGGGGGTAGCATCTGTGAGATCTGGGGCTCTTCAGCAGGAAGGCCAAGTCCAAACTGATGTGCTCTTTGCTTGTCTTGGGGCTAGGAGGCTATTTCGTTTTCTTCCAATTTATTCAGATTGTTTGGTCTTTTGCAACCTCACAAAATCCTTTTCTAAGATTCTAAATTATATTTGATGAAGAGCTGATTACCCAGGGCCATAAAAACTGTTCAGCATTTATGTAAATTCCTGAATTCACTGGTTTGATTTTATCCACCACGGTATGAACTCCATGACCTGCCTTGTGGTTTGAGGACAGAAATGTGATAGAAGTAGCCGTTTGGGACTGTGTGCTGTACTTTGGGGAAACCCCTTCACAGTGCTCATTTAGTAGGTTTCCGAGTCCCCATCTCAATCGTTTGTTGTGAAAGCTCATGATTGCCAGTTCTAATACTGTAAGTTTTCTCCTTAGAGTAATTCTGACCCAGGAAATGTTTTAAATGATTATTTGACACCTTACTGTAGTGTTCATCTCCAAAAGACCATTCAGCTGCACCTTTTCCCTTATGTGTGTCCTTATAGACTATTCTGTGAATTCCACTTAGATTGGAAATACAGATAGCCCAGTTTTATTTCTCCGGTTCATGTTGATGGTAACGACTTTTGTAATTGGAATTATTTTTCTTCCTGCTCTTTGGCTGGGTCTTTTAAAATAAGAGTTAGGTTAAGTGGATTCATTCAGTACATGCTAAAAATTTCTCAAATCACTTTTGTGAAGTCTGTTAGGTTTGTAATTCAGCTTTAGAAAAATTGTTGCTTAAATCTTGTTTTAGGACTGTATTTCAATGTCAAAATATTGTTTAATATGTGTGAATTTTTTTCTTCATTTTGAGTTTGATCCTGACATTACTTTTACTAAATAGAATATTGTTTAATGGGAAGAAATAACAATTTAATACTTTTGTTATTAATGGTAATGCTTCATTTAGAATGACATGTTTTAGGCTGTATGTTAATAAGACAATAATTTAATAATTTTTATATGACAGGCACCTATGGGGACCTGCTGGGGTGATATCTCAGAAAATGTGAGAGTAGAAGTCCCCAATACAGACTGCAGCCTTCCTACCAAAGTCTTCTGGATTGCTGGGATCCTAAAGCTAGCAGGTAAAAGCATGCATTATAATTGACTAAAAAATGCCGATACATAAAGCGTTTTGTGAAAAAGCATGTTTGTAAATTCTGCAGATATTACCAAATAAATGATAATGATACAGGCGTTGACAATTTTTTTCTATAAAAAGAACAAATATTTTCAGTTGAATCTTTCCCATTTAACATGCAAGCAGCCCATAGCAATGCATAAATAAATATGTATGAATGTGTTCCGGGTGAATTTTACTTATGGGCACTGAAATGTGAATTTCATGTAATTTTCATATCTTCTGAAGAAATTTTTAAAAATTAGAAACTATTTTTAGGTCCTAGACTATTTTTTTAAAAAAGAAAGGAAGGAAGGAAGAAAAGCAGGCAGCAGTCATGATAGTGCATGAAAATGTCATGCTATCTCATATACAGGGAAATACTTTGAAAAATAACAAAAGCTGAAATACTTTTTTAAAAAAGTCTATAATACCAAATGAAATACTGATTTCAAGTATCTTGGGCTCTTTCTCTTTATTTCCATGGCCTCCACTGTTCCCAGCCCTTGTGACTTGTCTTGCCCATAAAGTAAACATGTGGGGGACCTCCTGTGTTAGGCAAAGAGGCCCTACCTTGGACAAGCATGGAAGTGTAAGGCTTGCTGTGTAATCAGGGTTCCACGCGTAAGTCTGGCGTCCCTGCCCAGTGGGCAGTGTAAATGCAGTGTGTGCAGTGCTAGCTGGCAGGAGGGGCAGGCTTCAGATGACAGATCACTGCTAGGAGAGGCCTGCTCACCTGCTCTGTCTAACCGTGCCAGCCCTCTGCGTACTCTTCTACTGTATTTGCTAATAGGCTTACCTAAAGAGAGCCTTTTGCTGCACGCATGTGTGCACATGTGTGCACGTGCGTGCGCGCATATGTATGTAGTACTAGAGATACTGAGCAAGTGCTCTACCGCAGAGCTGCATGCCCAGCCCCTAAAAATAGTGATTCCAGTTCTCTGCTCAAGCTGCACTTCGGCATCATATCACTAACCATGCTTTTTGCTCTCCCCCGCATAGGCAGTCTGTCCTAATGAAGCTAGGGTGTTTCTGTACCTCCCACCTTCCCTCCTTCATGCAGTTGTCAACTCTGTGCCATTGATCAAGAGCGTCCCAGGCTCCAGTCATCATATTATCCAGTTGTTGTAACCAGTGCAATCCAACCTTTTGTTTGGAAACATTTCCTTGACTAAAAAGCACACGTTAAATGCTTTTATTATTCTCTGCACTATAAAACACAAAAGGTTTTTGTCACATATGTTGAGTCAGTGCATTTAGATCAGTGCGTTTAATGTCCAAGAATCATTTCTAGCTAACCTCTCTGACTTTACATTTCCACTTCATTTGATTTTATCCAACATAATCTTAAAGTCCTTTTACCTTAAAGGAGTTAAGCCTTATGTTGATCACAAACTGGAGTTCATGCCCGTAATCCCCAAACACTGTAGTCAGAAGGTTGAGGATGGAGGGTTGTAAATCTGAGTCCTTCCTGGGGAATGTAATGAGACCATGTCTCAAAATAAAAAGGGCCGGGGATGTAGCTCAGTGCTGGAGTCCTTGCCTGCCATGTGTGAGCTCCTAGATGAATTCCCAGAGTTTAAAATAAGTAAGTAAAAGAACATTGAAAATTTGAAATCTCAAAAATTGTTCTATAAGGTACTGAATTTTGTCAGTTTAATGTTAATAAATTTTCATCACAGGTACTAGTACCTTAATATACTAGTTAATAAATTTTCATCCTGCCTCAGCCTCCTGAGCACTGGAACTATAGGCATGTGCCACCATTCCTGGCTTTAAATTTATATTCTGGGGCTGGGGATTTAGCTCAGCGGCATAAGCGCCTGTCTTGAAAGCAGGCAGTCGTGAGTTCGATCCCCGGTATCGATAAAAAGGAAAAAGACAAAAAAATAAATTTAGATTCTACAAATAGCCACATTCAAATTATCCAAAGTAACTGGCTGAGTGAATTGGCAATTTCTTTGAAATATACTTCAACTAGATTTCTGTGACATGATCGGATTTTGTAATTTATTAAAACCTGTTGTATTTTGGGGGGCTGAGGATTTAGCTCAGCAGCATAAGCACCTGCCTTGCAAGCAGGCAGTCGTGAGTTCGATCCCTGGTACCGATAAAAAGGAAAAAGACAAAAAAAAAAAAAAAAAACCTGTTGTATTTTTTAAGAATTGTTTGTCACTCACTACTGGGGATTGAACCCAGGGATTTGTACTCAACTACACCCCAGGCATGTTCTGTATTTTGTTTGTATTTTTGTTTTTTGTTTTGAGGGGTGTTTTGTTTTCCTTTGCTTTGTTTTGTTTTGTTCTGTTTTGAGTGAAAGTATCCCGCCATTGTCCAATTTGAGATCATCCTGCCTCAACTTCCTAAAGTGCTGGGATTATTAGCATGCACCACCCAGCAAGACTTACCTGTTCTAATAAAGCTGTGACACCCGTTTTCACTGAGCGGGCAAAATTGAAATGCATTCAAAGTTGGACTAACTGCATGGAGCAAGCAGTTCTCAATGTTGTTCGAGAGTAGTAGGAGCAGCATCACCCCAGGGCCCTGCCTACACGCGAGACACTAGGTTCCTCCACCAGCACTGTAAATAAAAGGAAACTCACCATGCGCCTGCTGAGTCCACATCTCCGAAATTGGCACAGATCTCTCTCTGTTAAGCCCAACAAGGGCTTCCATGCAAATGTTCTGAAGCTTGATAACCTCTACAACAGCTGTTACTTCTTTGTAGTTTCCTGACTGTTGTGATCGCTGTGTTGGTTCCAGGTTACAATGCCCTCTTACGATATGAAGGATTTGAAAACGACTCTGGTCTGGACTTCTGGTGCAATATCTGTGGTTCTGATATCCATCCAGTTGGGTGGTGTGCAGCCAGCGGAAAACCCCTTGTCCCTCCTAGAAGTAAGCAGCTGGTTTACCCTCCCCGTGGTTCCCTTGTGCCTGCTGTCCTGCTGTCTTACACATAGTCATCACGAAGTAACAGCAAAACTAAAGTAACTTTGGGGCCAGCAAGCCGTATACTTGTTTTCTGTCCTTGTTGTCTGAGAACTTTAATAGCTGGCTTGCAGAAAAATTTGTTATCTTTTTGTTTTGTTTTGTTTTAACAATGGAAGCAGTTCTCCTTTCTAAAATATAACTGATTATTTCTTTTGTCTTAGCTATTCAACATAAATATACAAACTGGAAAGCTTTTCTAGTAAAAAGACTTACTGGTGCCAAAACACTTCCTCCTGACTTCTCACAAAAGGTAAAAATTGGGTCATAACAAAAGACTGAGACTCTTAGAAGATATTTAAAGAATTGTGTTAATTTCATGACCTGGCTGATCCATGTTAAATATTGAGCATCATCAGTATTTTAGCAGTTAATATTAAAATTGTTTATTGTACACCTTTCGCCATGTGTTCTGACTGAGTCTTGTCTGCTTCTGTTGTAGGTTTCAGAGAGTATGCAGTATCCTTTCAAACCTTGCATGAGAGTAGAAGTGGTTGACAAGAGACATCTGTGTCGAACACGCGTGGCAGTGGTGGAAAGTGTCATTGGAGGGAGATTGAGGCTGGTGTACGAAGAGAGCGAAGACAGGACAGACGACTTCTGGTGCCACATGCATAGCCCCTTAATCCACCACATTGGTTGGTCTCGCAGCATAGGCCATCGATTCAAAAGATCTGGTAAGCACCTGCCACCGAACTCCTGTGGAGAGGGTCCCAGAGGCTGAATTACACTTCCTGTCTATTTTTCTTTGCAAACTAGCATGGACCAGAACTAGCATTAGGACTAGAGGTGTAGCTCAGAGTAGAGCATTTGCCGAGCACATGCAGGACCCTGGGCAAGCCTGGTATTTCGGGGCAGAAACAGCATTGCAGTTGTTAGGGCTATTTATTTTACCTCCACCGTATCAGTGCTAAAACTAATCACTTTATATTCCTTCCACTTGCTCTCAGTTAAAAAGTAATACACATTCCTGCACAAAGGCCTGGGTTCATTCCCCAGTGGCACAATAATAATACAATAATTATAAAACTGTACTTTGATCACAGTTATTTTCTTGTTGTTTCTTATCCTTCCCATTTGCAAGATATCAGTTTTAATCAAAATGGTAAGATTAATTGTGGGTTGACAATACCAGACACATCAAAGTGTGTCTGAAGTTGTAATTCCCAAGGTTCCATAAGCATCAGCATTCTGCTTAGCTGAAATGCGTCTAACAGCACAGGTCTGTGTACTCTGGAGAGAGAAGACTGTGACTGCACATGCTTCCCCAGAGTGTAGAAGGCATGTCCGTGGCCATTTTTTAGGGTGTTACCGTACTTCATGAGTGTGAAACCTTCAACAAAACGTGGTCTTTGGTCTTCTCACAAATGCTGACAGATTAGTATGTAACTTTTCCTTGTAGATATTACAAAGAAACAGGATGGACATTTTGATACACCACCACATTTATTTGCTAAGGTAAGAAGTTTTTATAAGAACCCTCATTTGTAAGTTAAGTTTGAAAGAGGGTTGTGGGTTTTTTCCTAAAATTACGGAAATCACAGTTGCATATGTTCACTTAATAGGACTGAGACCTTATAATTTATAGGTGTCACAGATCTCTGCTATAAATATTCTTAAGTTTTGTCTGTTTGTCTGGACTCTCTTTATTTCTTAATGGCAGTTTGAGTTATAATATTAGGTAGAGGAGAAGGCATCTGGTAGACCTTTTCAGATTGGTGATATTTTAATTATTATTAAGATGATAATGCTTATAGCAGTGTATGTGCTTTCATATAATTCTTTAGGTAAAAGAAGTAGACCAGAGTGGAGAATGGTTCAAGGAAGGAATGAAATTGGAGGCTATAGACCCATTAAATCTTTCTACAATATGTGTTGCAACTATTAGAAAGGTAAGATGATGGGGTTTTTTATTTATTTTTTAAGATAGTAGGTCTTTTTTTTTTTTTTTTTTGTCAAGGAGAGAGTACCAGGAATCAAACTCAGGACCCTGAGCTTGCCAGGCAGGCAGTTGTGCTGCTGAGCTCCATCCCTGGCCCAGGATAATAGGTTTTAAGCCGGTATGGTGGCACCTGCTTATAAGGGCAGCGGTGGGGAAGCTGTGGTAGGAGGATTTGAGTGAGGCCAGGCCAGCCTGCACTGTGAAGTAAGACTGTCTCAAAAACAAAAAAGATAATAGCTTTTAAAAACAGAAATAATTTATAAAAGACAGAGGCAGGCCAGGGATAAGAACTCAGTGGCATAATGCCTTCCTGGCATTCTTGAAGTCCTGAGTTAGATTCCAGTACCAAAAAAGGGAGGAGGCCCCCAGCTTATTCATTTGACATAAAATACGTGTTTCTGGACATTTCATGAGGAGACGATTACTGAAAAATTCAAAATAAATTTGAATTTTGTATTTTGACACAAGGTCTTATTAGATTGTTCAGGGTGGCCGTGAATTCATGGTGATCCTCCTGCCTCAGCCTTCCCAACACTAGGATTACAGGCATGCACTGCACCACCCAGCTTCACATCTTTTTAGGCTGCTTGTTGTTAAAATTGTCATTTTGAATCTGCTCCCCATATTTGCAGAAGTGTACCCTAGGTTAAGGAAGCATTTTGATTTAAGTGACTTCCTGCTCAATGCTGGTCAGTACCACAGGGTTATAATGAGACCAAGTTTATCTTCAATTTTCTGTGTTTGCTTTTTGTGAATTTTTTTCCGATTGGTAATACTACATTTCTTCCCTTTTCCCTCTCCTAATAAACTTTTCTTAGGAAAATTTCTAGAAGAGGATTCTTAATTCCCTATGAGCATCAAGCTTTCCTGGGGAATTTAAAAAATACAGGTGAAGCCAGGCACAGTGCCACATAGCTGTCTCCCCCGCCCCCAGGAGACTGCAGCAGGATTGCAGTGAGCTCAGGCCAGCCTGGGCCACTTAGTGAGTTTAAGGTCCGGCTGATCTAGGTAGTGAGACCTTGTCTCAGAAAGAGCACCACCCCACAAAAAAAAGAAGAGGGGCAAGCTACTTGTTACAACAGCACAGCATAACAAATCATATACAGGGGGCCCTCGCATGGGCCAGAGCATAAGAACAGCTGAGCTGGAGCTCAAAGACGGTGGAGCTTGTTTGGAATGTGATGACAGGAAGGAAAGCTGGACTTGGCATCTCAGGGCTGTAGTACCGGCACCCTGGGAGCTGAGGAAGGAGGACCGAAGTTTGGGCTCAGCGTGGGCAACTTAGCAAGAGACTATCTCAGAACAAAAGATGAGCTGGTGGTGTGGCTCAGTGCTAAGACCCTGTGTTAAATCTCAGACCTAGGCTCAGTGCGGGAAGGACCAGAGGTGAGGAGACAGCTCAGTGATCACACACTTGCCTGGTGTACGAAAGGCCTTGAGTTCAAGCCCAAAGTACTAGCCAGTAGAAAACCAGATGGTAAATAAGGACAGCAGCAGCATATGAAGCAAGTGTACTGTTTTTCTCCACCTCTGGAACATTTCTGAGTAGTTTTGCTTTTGTCTGTGGTATACACTGTAGTTTACCATGTTTCGTTGTAACTTCCATTGTTGTAGCCAATTCAGTAAGAAATGCTTTTTTACTTTGAAGAGATACTTTAGTAGTGGTGTCTAACTGCACATACTTGAGATTGTCTTCATTTCAAAGGTGCTGGCTGACGGATACCTGATGATTGGAATTGATGGCTCTGAAGCAGCAGACGGATCTGACTGGTTCTGTTACCACGCAACCTCCCCTTCTATCTTCCCTGTTGGTTTCTGTGAAATTAACATGATTGAACTTACTCCACCCAGAGGTACCTCCCACTCCGATGAAGACACTGGGCCCCTGCCTCTGCCCACAGGCACCTTCTGTCTGTGTTCACGCAGTGCTGTTTTCTTGCTGTGTAGACACTGTATTGGGCTTGTACATCTGCAGATACACATGTGCAGGAGCTGCAGTTGGCATTAAAGCATACATGCTAAGCAGTTGTGATCAGTTAGGTGAGATTTTCCCTGGACTCCTGTGCACATCACAGTGTGAGTCAGTATTCCCAGGATCGCAATAAGGCCTTGTATATGGGAATGGAAACATCTGAAAACGGATACTTGGCCTTTGAAGAGAATACCACATGGTAGTTGAAAAAGAGGTGTGTCTTTAACAGCTCTCATAGCTCAGCCATGGTACATGCCAGTAACCCCAGCCCTCAGAAGGCTGAGGCCTGGGCTGCATAACAAGGTGAAGCCAATGTGAGCTACACAAGCAAGAACCTATCTCAAAAAAGAATCCTCACGACTTAATGATTTTTCTAACTTCAGTATCTGACCTCTGAGGGTTTTCTGTAAGACGGAAGGGGAAGTAAAAACAAAGGTTTATAAAAATAACATTTGCTCAGTTAGTTTTCTTTCTTTGAAAAATGGAAAAACATCTATAGAGTGCCAATATGCTAAAGCCTAGGATTAAACCAAATTCTGGGTTTTCAGTTTAGCCATGATGGCACAGCCCTTGTGCCACAAAAACATACAAAGCAAGAGTCTCTCCTTGCTGTCACTTTTGCAATGGCTAAGCGGGATACTTCTGTGTCTACAGAGGAGGACTCCTGTCTTACAGGAAGGGATCACTGCGTCTCAGTGTTAGGGCTTGACTTAAAGGTCTCTCCTACTGCCTAAGACCTGAGATGTGTGAGTTGAGTTACTTTCTACCTGCATCTTACTGTTAGGCCAATTTTGAATGAACTGCTACTTCAGCAGTTTTGTGTGTGTGTTGTTTGTTTATTCTTAGGTTACACAAAGCTTCCTTTTAAATGGTTTGACTACCTCAGGGAAACCGGCTCCGTGGCAGCGCCAGTGAAACTGTTTAATAAGGTAAGTGGCCATGCCGCCTACCCACAGCATGCAGGTGCAGCGCTGGTCCATGGAAACGGCTCTGCTGTACCAAGGCGGCCCAGTGAAGATTAGATGCGTATTTACGTACAGCACACGATGAGAAAGCCTTAGGAAAAGCACCTTTGTTTAAAATGTTTCTTTCTGGATCTGAGTAAAGTAGAAATGAGTACACCTCCTAGCTAGCCCCTAAATACTTCTCCATCCTAACGTGTTCACAGAAAGAATTACTGGAGCTGCAGTTTGATGACGGGGTTGGATCTGACCCTAATCCTTCTCTCTTTCACATTCTTAGTGATTACAGACTTGTGTGTCTTTCATACACTGCTAATGTCGGTCATTCTTCTTTGTGTCAGGATGTTCCAAATCACGGATTTCGTGTAGGAATGAAATTAGAAGCAGTAGATCTCATGGAGCCACGTTTAATATGTGTAGCCACAGTAACGCGAATTATTCATCGTCTCTTGAGGATACATTTTGACGGATGGGAAGAAGAGTACGATCAGTGGGTAGACTGTGAGTCCCCTGACCTCTATCCTGTTGGGTGGTGTCAGTTAACTGGATACCAGCTGCAGCCTCCGGCATCACAGTGTAAGTTGGTGTACAGCAAAGGTGTCCTTTTGCACAACTTAACAATTCCAGCTCGCTGTGGTGGCGCATACTTGTAGTCCCCGTACTTGGGAGACCAAGGCAAGGAGGATCACTGAGTTTGAGGTCAGCGTAGGCTACATAGCAAGACACTGTCTCAGAAAAACGAAGCAAACACAAAAACAAATCAGCGGTTCTCCAGAGGACCAATCTCAGGTAAATCATCTTGCAAGCTCAAAGGACAAAAATATGCCTGTGTCCAGTTGGTTCCCAGATACAAGGGAACCACAGAGTCAGACCATCGGTGCTGTGGTCACGTGAGCTCACCAGTTGATTACAGAGTAACCTAGAGAAACAAGTCAGCCCAAATTCAGCTGTGCTCGTGAGTTTAAAGATCTAGCTTGATCTCTTCCCCCCCCCCCCAAAAAAAAAAGTGGAGTTGTGGAGGACTTGTTTCGAGTGCATAAGGCCCTGGCTTCATCCTCCGCAGGCCAAAACCGTGTGACTACATAGTGTCGCATAGGGAGTCTGCTACCAGTGGTCACAACTTTGTAGGAACAGATAACACCCTCATGTACTTGTGTAACCATAGAGGTCTTCAGAAAGATAGTTCATCTCAGCTCTATCCGAAATGTAAAAAAGTATCTGGTGCTAATTTTCCCCTTTTGTTTTTCAGCATCAAGAGAAAGTCAGTCAGCTTCATCAAAACAGAAGAAAAAGGCGAAGTCCCAGCAATACAAAGGACATAAGAAAAGTGGGTCGCCATGTGGTGTTTCCACACGTTTTCTAATCACTAACCATTTGGGGCCACAGTTTTCTTGCGCAGAAAGTTCCATGCTGCGTGAGAACTAATGATTGTGCAGTCTGTATTATGCTTAAAGGTGCAGTATACCGTAAAAGGCAAACCTCAGAGAAGTAGTGCTGTAGTATTTAAAGCACACATAGTCAAAAGTAGAGCCAAAGAATGATTCTCAGGTAATATGCAGTCCCATTCAAAGCTTAGCTTCCTATTTAAAAAAAAAAAAAAAAAAAGGGTATTTGCTTATACTAGACCTGGAGCCCAATAAACCTATCTAAAGTACAGCTCTGGGGCCAGGGATGTAGCTCTGCGTCATAAGCACCTGCCTGGCAAGCATGAGGTTCTGAGTTCAATTCCCAGCGCCAAAAAAAAAGAAAGTACAACTGTTTATATAGTTGGAGAAAGTCCAAGTTGGTGTCTAACAAAGCAGAAAGTCCTGAAAGTACTTTCTATGCTGGGTTTTACCTTACACTGAATTCCTGTTGACATTCATAGCCATACTGTAATATGAAAAACATTGATACCTATATTTAGTTCTTCTTAAATATTTTTCCCTACTGTAGAAAGTGACTGGCTTTTCTCTTTGTGAAATTTGTCATGGAATATTCCACTTCAAGATAAATTCATTCAGTTTGGTTTTTAAGAGAAAAGCACTGGAGGATTGATACTGTAGGACTTTTCCAGCTGCTTTGCTGTGATTTTAAGTAAATGCTGATCTGTCTCATTAACCATGAGACAAAAGCAGCTGCAGAATTCAGCGCACTGTATTCTCACCCTCAGGTGATAGGCATTTTTTGTTTGTTTCTTTTTTTAGAACCAGGGAATCAAATTCAAGATCTTACACTTGCCAGGCAAGCACTTGTGCCAGTGTTTATCATTTTTTAAATGAAAAGGTTAAGCTTTTTTTTTTTTTTTTAGCAGCCACTGCAGTGCACATCACAGACAGGTACCCTTCTGGGTGAGCCCTCACCCAGCCACTCGGGTGAGCCCTGCAGCCGTGTGCTTGCTGTTCATGGACTTTCCAGGCCAAGCCTCACAAAGTTGCTTGGGACTCTGGTGCTCACAGAAAAGAACTGCGGGGAGCATTGCAGCCAGGCAGCTCATAGGGGCTTCTTGCTTCATGTGGGTAGTTAGGAAGAAGTCAGCTGGGGATTTAATACTGAGGATTAATCATAACAGGTGAGATGGCTAAGCTTTTTATAAAGTGAGGCATGGGCTGAGGTAATCTGTCTTATGGTACATGCCTGTGGTCCTAGCATTTGGGAGCCCGAGGTAGGAGGATTGCTGTGAGTTCAAGGAAAGTCTGGGTTATAACATGAGTTCAGGACCAGCCTGAACTGCATAGCAAGACCCTGTCTCAAAAAAAAAAGAAAGAAAAGAATTTCAGAATTGTATTACGAGACATCAAATTAAGAATGGTTTTTGTGAACCAGGGATTTAACTCAGTGCCGTAAGCACCTGTCTGGCAAGCACAAGGTCATGAGTTCTATCCCTGGTACAAAAAAGAAAAAGAATGGTTTTTGTTTACTCTGTGGTTTATGAAGAGTAATTCTTCCTGATTTACAGATGTGGTCTCAACCATTTACTTTTTTTTTTTTTTTTTTTTTTAACTGTAACTGTTACAAGGTTTGTTTCTGGCTTATGAGGTTTAAATTATTTTGAATTATAATTTAGGGACAAGGGGAAAATGTGTAATTAATGGAGTAATAATACAAATACCCCCATTTTTAGTAATATTTACCATTACCAGATTTCTGAATTATCCAGAAAAATGAATTTAGCTGTAGATGCAACAGACTTGGACATTTTGATAGCTCTTAATGTTGTGACATTTCTAGCATCTTGGGTTGGTTCTACAAACATAAAAAGAAAAAACATACAAGCCTATAGTCCTGTGGTCCCATAGTAGAAATCCCTGGTATCAGATGAATGTGGGAACTGACAGTTGTTGGGTTTTTTTTTTTTTTTTTTTTTTTCTTTGAGACTGCATGTTTGCTGTATAGCCCAGGGTGGCCTTGGACTTGGTGGTGACCCTCTTACCTCAGCCTCCTGCGTGCTGGGATTGCAAGTGTGCACCACCACACCCAGCTGGGATTTTCCACAAGAAATGCAGTGCATGTGCCTTTCGCTGCATACTACTACTTACAGACTGGAACGCTTGCTGGTGCACAGCTGTATTACAGATACTTGCATTGGCCATGCATTGAAGCCCTTTCTTGTCCTCATCGCAGTCCAGGAAGTTTGTATTTGTAATCCCATGGAAATGTTTTTGGAGTTTTGGCAAATTAATTTTAATTTATCACCTGTAGTGCAACCCACAGCGAGAATAAAGACACTGAGACATGTTTACAGTTACAAGCAGCCAGGGGTTTTGAGTACAGTCTAGAGGAGGGTTCACGGAACAAATGCCTCAACTCTTATTCACGAAGAGGGCAGCGCCTAAGGATGAGTGAAGTGAGAACGGTGGCACAGTGCGAATTGCATGAGTGCTCCAAGCCGAGCTAGCCTGGGTGCCGGGAGGCACCTCTGCAGTAAGCAGAGAGAAAGGTTTGCAGAAAGAGCAGTCTGCCTCACACAATTGAGGAGGCATTTGATGTTTGGGAGGCCGATGCTTTCGTCTTCACTGTGTAAAAGTTTGTGCCCTGGAGAGACACAGCCTCTTACCTCTAGACTGAAGCCTCTTGGTATTCCTGGATCATTGGCTCTGCCATCCTGCTGGACTCAGCCATTTGGTGAGACAGACAAGTGAGAAAACAGGCCTGAGGCTCAGCATTAAGGGGATCCATCAGTGCTGTAGCCGCCCCACTCACCCTGCTTAAAGCCAGGTGAAGGGACAAGAAAACAGCGGTGGAGGTGATGGCTCTGTATGTAAGGAGAGCCCTTTGGTGTCCTCTACACCATGAACCCCCTGCTGTTCAGGGGGCTGAGGCAGAAAGGTGTGCAAGTTCAGGCCCAGTGTGGCTGGCACATGGAGACCCTGTTCAGAAATAACTAGGGGTGAGGCCTGCGGTGGTAGGTCTGTGATGAAGCCCACTTAGCACAGGAAGCTCAGGAAAGAAAGGGAGGAGGCGAGGTAACGGTTATGATGCGTTGCCAACTCAGCAGGGTTTGTTGCCAAAATCTTACAGGGAAAACTGGCTGAATGACACTGCCAGAGCCAGGCATGACTCTGGGACGCTGAGGCAGGATGATTATAGGGTCCAGCCCAGTAATCAGTGAGAGGCCTTGTCTCAAGGTGGCTGTGTAGCTCAGTGGGAAGGCCCTGGGTTCAGTTTCCAGAAGCACCAAAAAACAACAAAAAAGTGAAAGGAAAGGAATTGGGGGTGCTGTGTTAAGCCATTTCCACCAGGTGTGGTGCTCATGCCTGTAATCCCAGCACTTGGGAGGCTGAGGCAGGAGGATTGTTTCGAGTTCGAGACCAGCCCGGGCTACAAAGTGAGCTCAACTACATAGCTCCCTGAACTACATAGCGAGACCCTGTCTCAAAAAGACAGAGGAAAAAAAAGCCATTTCTACTGTGAAGGAACCATGTGCTCCCCAGTAAATGACTCAGCTGTTCATTAGACACTTCTCCCACAAAAGTTCAGTTGCCCAAATAAATGTGGGGTTTACCAACCTAAGGCATCCGTTACAGGCCAGCATGCATGGTTGCGGTAGGGCTACGACACTCTGTCTTCAGTTTGCTGGTAGATTATTGTATCCCAGCTGTGTTGTTCTATCTTAGAGCTCTTCGGGTGTTCTGGTACTTAAAATCTTTCCCCAGTCTTCACTAGCGCTTCCTTGTTAGAGCAGTCAGTTGCTGGCTCCATCATTGTAGCTTATCGGTAGCAGGCTGTTCTGCAGAAGGAAAAGTGTTCATTGGCACTGCTGAAGGGAAGAGAAATGTACCTAGAGGATCGTGTAGCCCATCCAGTTTCTAGTAGTAATTCTGAAGCAGGAAAAGCAGCATTAATTTCTGTCTTAAGTTGCCCTGTTTTCAGGGCTCCTGTGAGTACTGTGAGCTAGAGTTCTGCTTGCCCTTTTTTACCTCTTAAGTATGAATTCTAGTAGAAAAAGCCCTGGCTTCTAAACCATACTGCTGTCTACCATCCAGCGTAGGTACGCCTGTCTGTAAGTGACAGCTTTGTGAAGCAAAATTCTGATCACTCTGTGAAGGAAAACAGGCATAATTTACCATCACAGAGATGGATATGACCTGCTTTCAGCCCGATAGAAGCACTTAACTTGGCGGCTCAGTACCTGCAGAATTCAGGGTGTAGTTTTGGTTGGTGAAATTGTGTGCATCCTGGAAGACTTATGTAACCCAAGGGTATGATAAATTTGTTTCAGAAGAAGTTAAGAATTTGAAGACAACATGCAGTGAACTTTGCATTTTAGAAGTGCTTTTAAGAATAAGTGTATTGTTCACTAAACGGGAAGCGCACTCCACAGTGTATATGGGTACTGTCTAGAGGAGCCTGCTGACCGCCCGGGGGCCCATTAGAAACTTCCTCTCGTGGTCCCCTGAAGGGTGGGAAGTGTCAGGCAGCCTGGCCTGCAGGAGGCTCAGGCTCTGCAGAAAAACCAGAGCGTGCTTCCTCTTCCTTTAGTTTTGGCCTTTCACCCCTCCTCAAGCTAAGATTTTCTTGAAAGCAATTGGCTAGATGTTCTCTACTCTTTTAAGTGCTTTCCTGTTCATTTTGCTTTATTTTAAGATTCATTTGGGAGTCAGAACCAGGGTTATCAGACATTGAGAAAGTAGAAACTGTCCCCGTTATTCTCCCGCCACATGCACGCGCGCTCGCGCATACACACACACACGCACACACACGCACACATACATACACATGCCCTTGCCTCCTACGCAGCCTGGTGTAGCGGGTTTTCGGCAGGGCCCTGTGTGCCCAGCCTTCCATGTTATACAATGCACTTTTCCTGCCACCACGCGGGTCGAAGCTCACTTCAGTCTGACTTGATGTTTAGAGAGGAAGATGCCAGTTGGGAAGAAGCCTGTCAGTTTGTCGAGCCTGCCCATGACAGGTGCGGTGCGGAGGAGCCTCTCTGGGGCCGAAGAGTTGACTCCTCCTCCATACCGAGCCCTGCCGGCACAGACAGCCCCGGAGGCCCTCCCGCCTCCCAGCACTAGCCGAGAGTTCAGGCCCAGCCTCAAAACAGGTAACGCGCCACCCGGCACCGCAGGTACTGCAGAGGGTACAGTGCTGGGCAGGGTGGCGGGAGACAGGGCGTGCTGTGCTGTGACAGATGCTGACTCACTCCGTCTCTCCTTTGCTTTTGTCTGAATTCATCCTCACTGGTGCTGGTAGCCATTTCACTGAGAGGCATCATCGGGGAGGAGGTTATGGAGTTGAGAGGCAACTCGTGGTTCATTAGAAACGCTCGATCATGTGGCTGGCTGGCAGTTGTGTGTGGCTTGGCAGGGATGGCTGTCTGGAGGCGCTGGTCTGCTGGACAGTACCCAGTACAGAGGCCTCTATCATGGCATGGACGTGGCTTCAGTGCTGCACGAACCTCAGTTTCTGTGGTGATGACACTTACCATGATTGTGGCCAAGTAACCTAGGTGTGGAGAGACAGTACCTGCACCATTTGGGTGTTGAATTTTCACACTCCCGTGTTTACGTGTATAAACTGGTGAACTCAGCAAGTGACATTTAACCAGGTAGGCTGGGGCAATGGATTGGAAGGAAGAGTGCAGAAGGTTTTGCCCTTGGTGGTGTCACCAAAGTGGGTCTGAAAAGCCGTTCCTTGCTGTGATGACCTTAGGCCTGGGTCCAGATCTCAGTGCTGCCAGACCAGAGTTGGATCTGGGGCCCGTGTCTGCTGCTGTGTCCTAGGTGCCGGTTTTAAGCTGGGCTGTATTATCTATCCAGCATTCTTTAAAATACCTTTTGTATACTGAAAATCCAGAGAACAGTTTTACCTAGCTGTCCCCTTCTCTACTGTTTGCTAACATTTTTACACCTGGAATTACCAGCCTCTTTCTGAGAAGACCCGTTTTTGAAGGAAATGTTCTTTACCTTCTGCATCTGTCACAGTGTGTTAGGTCCTCTCGCTCCTTCCCACTCTGTTTCTGAAGGTTACTCTGGTGCAGAGGACACTGCAGGTTTTATTTTACATGAAAAACCAATTGGGATTACAAAGTTACCGGGCTTTTCATGGAAAACCTTCAAAGTCCTATGTAACGAGCATTCTAGCTTCTGGTTCTGTTTCATACGTGAAGTTTATAAAGTAACGTCTCTTACCTTATGAAGTATAGATACTGTGAGCTCAGAATGTTTGAGTGTGTGTTAGGTTTTGGGTGCATGTGGTTGGGTGAGGCAGATGAATTTTGGAGTGTATGTCATGTTCTGTGAAAGGTTCTGATTCATGTAAAGCAGAATTTGCCCCAAGAGCACACGTGGCCTTGCACATGACTTCCCTCCCTGCCGTGTTTGTGGAGCCCCTCTGCTGGGCGGGGCCAGCTGTCATTTCTCTCTGGTGAAGACACATGGGGTGGCCCCGCCACCTGAGGCATCTGAACACTGTGCGGGTTAGGGTTAGCTTTTGAGTTGGTTGCTAATGGTCTGTGCAGTCAGGAAAATGTCATTTGGGTTTGATTTTCTCCTGAAATGTGAGAGATTAGTGTCATAAGTGACTTCCTTTTTAGGACGGAGCTGAGAACATGCCTTTGTGTAGAAAGTGACTTTCAGCCACGGGCTGTGTTATAGTTCATCCATCATTCACTGAGAAGGGGAAGGATTGGCGAAAACGTACTGGGCAGGCCTTACCTTAGATCCCATAAAAACGCTGGAACTGCATGAAAACATGGCTCATCGGAGTGAGTGTTCCACCTTTATCTTCAGTGGTTTTTTTAAGTGTATCATCTCCATATTTTAATGTGTATAGAAGCCTAATCGGGAAGTGTATGGTTAGCGGCAGATGCACACAGCCTCAGGATGCCGGGGCAGCTCGGTCTGGCTCTTACGATGAAAGACCATTTGAATGGCACATGCTTGGCTGCAGCACAGTGATTCCCATTCATTTAGCCATCTGATCATCATGACAGACACAGTTCAGTCAACCTTTTATTGTGGGTACTGCACCTTTAATGAACGGGGCTTTGTTTCGGTGGTGGTGGTGGTGGTGGTGGTGGTGGTGGTGGAGGAGGAGGAGGAGGAGGAGGAATGTCCTTAACATTAATGCATGCTGTCTAGTTTAGAAGGGTAACTGCAATACATTTGATACTGTTTACTGTAACAGCCTTGTTATTCATGTTTTTTAAAGAAAACTACAGTTTGCTGTACCTTTCAACAGTCTGATTAGTATTTGTTCTGCTGGAATTGTATATAGTGTATATTAGCTATTCTGTTTTCACACTATTTTTCACTATCAATGTCCAAACAAGTACCACAGTAAGCTGAAATTGTCCTCTCTCAAGAGATTAGTATGGTACAAAAGTCAGATAGACTGTTTTTTAAAGTAATCTGTAACTAAAATCCGGACATGCGAGCTGGGGAACAGATCAGTGGTACAGTGCTTGCTTGACATATGCAGGACCCTACGTTTGATCCTTAGCACCACAAAAACAAAACAGAAAAATCAAGAAATACAGCACATATTGTTGCGCGTAGTGCTATTATCTATGAAAAACTTAAATACTTACTACCCAGATACATGTGAGTCCTAATCCACCTGGTAAATCAGTATTTTTCAGTGTGACAGTTTCCCGTTTATGTTCCACATAGTCTCCTTACCTGTTCCAGGTGCCCCAACAGATGCCTGAAACCCCAGAGTAGGAACTCCGTATGTACAAACTGGTTTTCTCCCCATATACCTAAAGTTTAACTTACACTTAAGCACATTAAAAGATTGGGGTAGAAGAGGACAAAACAGCCCAGCATGGTGGTGCACCCTGAGGCTCAAGAGGTTAATGAGGTCTGGGGCAGCCTGGGCCACACACCTAGAACCTGTCTCAAAAGAAAAAACAGATCAGCAAGAAAACAGCACTTTGAACTACACTTGACTACAGGAAACTCAGTGGAACCTGTAACCAGGAGGACGGACTAGAGGTTATACTCCTCTAAGATTTTAATGAAAAACAGGTATCAGACAAAAACAAAAAGGCAGGCTGTTAGTGTGGAGCCACTGCCCAGCAGGGAGGCACAGCCACAGGGCAGTGCTCCTTCCTATGGCCCATCTATTTGTTTTTCTGATTTGTGTCAAATCTCTAGTTTCAAAATAGTTACTCCAGGGGTCCTAGGTTTAGCTCTGCAGCTCAATCGCTTGCCTGGTAAACTCGAGGTCATGAGTTGGATCTTCACTATCAAAAAAACCCATAACAAAACAGTCACTCCATGGTAAAAGAAAACTAGGACTCTGTAGCTAACAGTAGAGTGCTTTCTTGCCACTCAGGAAGCGCTGGTTTCCATCTCCAGGGCCGAAGAAGCGCCCCCAGCCAAGGAGGGCCGGTGGAGGGGGCACAGGGCTGTACAGAAGGCACCTCCCTGGTTCTTCAGAAATCTGCAGCTCCACTGAGTTCTTGAAGAAATCCCAACACAAGTCTGCAGCTGTAGGGATCCTTAGTGGCAGACTGCAGGATGGGCTGGGGAGGGGAATCTGGTGCCCCCTAAGGCCCTGTGTGATCCACTGGAGGGCTGCTGACTGGAGGTTCACAAGAACACAGGAAAAACTCAGCTAAACTTGGCCTAAGATCATTTTGGGGCCCAGCAAAATAAAATTGCTTTTTTTATGACTGTCTTCTCAGATAAGATCTCACTCTAGTCAATTCCAAAGGATCTTCCTGCCTCCACCTCCTAAATGCTGGGATTACAGTTATGTGCCACCAGGCCCCACTTTATTTCTTCTTTTGTCTTTTTTACTGTGCAGTCCTGGCTGGCCTGGAACTCACTTTGTTTTGTAGCCCAGGCTGTCCTCCTGCCTCAGCCTCCCCAGTGTTAGGATTGATGGAGTGCACCACCATGTCCCACAATTGTTTTTTCTTAATCTTGGTTCATACAGTGGAAGGAGCCCTCCCAAAGAGTCTGGCCAGCACACAGTCCCGCAGAGTAAAGACCTGTTGAAACGTGACTCTCTAAACTCCAGGGCCCACTGTGTGCTGGTTAAGAAGGAGTCCTGGGTGACTCCTTAGCAGTGAAAGCTGCTGTCAGCAGTCCCACTGGGAAAGGTAGCAGGTTTTGATTTTTGAAAGATTTTATCCGTCTTCTGGTTTGTTTTGGGTTTCCAGTGGTGCTAAGAATTAAACCCTGGACCTTGCATATTGAACCCTATGTAAGCCCTCTGCTGCTTAAGCTGCATCCCCAGCCTTTGCAATGGTGATTTTCACATCTCCATTGTCAGTAAATTTTTACTTGAACTGGAATAAGTACCCAAGTTTGCCATAATTTTAGTTCCAGTATGAGAATTTATTAAATGTCAGCTTTTTTATGAGTTTACATGTGTATAATTTGTGTCACTGGTGCTATTTTTGCATAACTTACAATTTTTGATTTCTAGTAGGAGACTCATCTCATTTCTTCAGGGAGTCTTTTAATATCTAGGCTGGGCTATATAGTACAGTGGTCTGGGGTACTTTCCTTGCACATGTGAGGCCCCGGCTTCAGCCTCCACCATGCAAAATGAAGGAAAGTGTCCTTGGAAAATAGTAACATTATTTTAAATTTGTCATATTTATTGTGTTACTTACAAAGCATTGTACTTTGGGGGCTGGGGGTTTAGCTCAGCAGCATAAACGCCTGCCTTGAAAGCAGGCATCGTGAGTTTGATCCCCGGTACAGATAAAAAGGAAAAAGACAAAAAAAAAGGGAAAAAAAGAAAAAAAAAAAAAAGCATTGTACTTTGGAAACACATGAGAATGTCATGTCTGTAGGCATCAGCATAAAAGTGAATGCTTACTCGTGTGAAAGACTAATCATTGTAGTTGCATTAGTGAGCATCATTACCAAGAATATTCTGGTGATGCTGTCCACTGTGAAGTGTCCAGTGTGCCATGTCGCCCTGTCCCTTCCCAGTCCGTGTGGGGGTGCACTGACAAGAGTCCTGGCCCAGCATGCACTAGGCCCTGGATTCAGTCTTCAGCACCACAAAAAGAACAGCTTGAATGCTCCTACTTCTGGAGTTTGGTTTTCATTGTTTTTTGCAGTGCTAGGGCTCAGTCAAACTTAGGGCCTCATGATGCATTCTCAGGAGCTACCCCAGAGCCCCCCTCCCAGCCCTCCAGGGGTCAGAGAAGACAGGAGGAAGTCTTGCTGACTGAAGCTGGTGGAGGAGTAGACAAGGCGACCTGGGTATCCAAAGGCCTGGTAACACCGTCTCCTCTTCTCCCCCTTGCAGTGACCACATTGCAGCTGAAGGAGGAGCTGCTGGACGGTGAGGACTACACCTTTCTCCAGGGAGCGTCAGATCAGGAAAGCAATGGCTCCGCCAACTTCTACATCAAGCAGGAGCCCTGAGCCGGCTCCAGAACTGAGGGTGGGCGGGCGGGCAGGGAGGCTTTTACACAGAACTGATTTATAACCAATCCAGCTGTGCAGCAGGCTACTCTACTGGGACATTTTGCTAAACAGAAAATTTCAGTTCCAGATTTTTCAGGTGGGTGGGAAACTATTTTAGTCTGGGAGGGGGAAATTTTTCAATTTATAAAGATGGACAATTTTTGTGTTGTATTTGAAGCTTTTGAAAGAATTTTGTAATATTTTCCAAGTTTGGATTTATGTGCATTGTTAACAAGAACTGAAATTCTAACTTTTTTGGTAAGATTAAAGCTTAGGTAGCAGGATTGAAGGAAATGATTTAAGAAGGATATAATTGTAAATGCAAATGAACTGTCATAAACATGAACCTTTTTTGGTACCTGTTGGGAGACTCAGATTTTAGAAGTTAGGCCAGTGACACTTCCTACAGCTTCCCCTGCCGCAGAAATAGGCAGCAGGCCTTCAGGAGGGCCCAGCGCCATCGAGGTTGCGACAGGGGCGTCACGCTGCTCGCTGGCGTTTTATTATAGCCCATTTTAAATGTTTGTACAGAAATGTTTTTCATTCTGTGAAAATTTATTTGGAGTTCTGTATGAAACTGGAAGAACTCTGGATACTTTTATATGTTCTCTTTGAGGTCAGAAATGATCAAAATGATCCTAACACTAAAGTGTTAAACTGGAATGGTTGGCAAGACACATAGGCTCTCAATCTCCACGGCACAGGGTGGGAGGATGCAGTATAGTCCTGAGTTTATCTTCCTTGCTTAAAAAAAATACAGCCCCGGTAGGGATCCAGTCAGTTCTTGGCCATTTCCCCCACCCTGAGAGGCAGTAACTGCGCATGGCCATACCCTGAAACAGATGTTCAGTGTCGCCAGGAGAATCCAAGTCAGTTACTCAAAGCCAGAAAACCTCAGATTTCAAAATCATTCCAGCTCCACTTCTAGCTGTCCTGGATTTGTTAGAAAACAAAACTGAAAGAGGACTTCATTTTTCTTAAAATTCCATATACATGGTTTTTGTCATCAAAATATACAAGTAATAATTGATTTGGACCACTACAAACATTCCCTTTTTAAAATTCACGTGGCTTCCTTTAAAAAATAGGATACAAGGGTAAATGGAAGAAAGGTTTGCTCTCTGCTTTCTAGCTGTCTCCCGAGCTGTGACTGAATGAGAGCTCTAGCGTTTACCAGTGAGGTTCATAACTAAACTCTCAGGAATTCACTCATCTGTCGTAGAAGTGCTCCTGGGTCTTAGCCGGGCCTCTGCAGAGTGCTGACCGTGGCCATCTCCTCTGGAATATAGGCGGGGCGGCCAGGAGTTAACCAGAGCAGTTAACCTCTGGGTCCTTGGCCTATGGAATGCTTTAAACAATGGAAAGCCCCAGGAGACCATTTTAGGTAAGATTTTTTGTTTGAATTTTAAAATGCATAGAACGTTTAAAAAAACCAGCAATTTATTTTCTAAAATATTGCTCTACTTTTGGGAATAATAGCATTGGTAATACGCACAGGTTTACCTCATTCTATGCAAGAGGGGTTAATAACATAAGGTTTTGTAGTAGCTACTGGAAGTAAATGTGTTACTTTATAGTGTAAGAATTTATGAAATCGCAGTCACCGTTTCTCACACTGACTCTTTGAGGGCAGAAACGCGATCACATCAACGCACGTTGATTCTCATGTGTCAAATATATGTGAATTCAGCTGTTAAATTACTGGATATTTATCTTAAACAGCATTGCCGAGAGGGACCTACTGTCCGTGTGACATCCTCACGCTTCCCAGACCCTAACCTTCCCAGACCTTAGCTGGGGAAGGCGCGGGTGGAGGGTGCAGCCGTCCTCCTCCTCCTCCTCCTCGGCCCTGCAGGAGCCGGGGCCAAGAAGCCCGGGATTAGCCTGTGAACCACTGCTTTGTAGCCAGTCTCACAAGCGTCCAAGCCGACCACGAGGCCAGGCTCGGCATTCTGGGACCCCGCTACTGCTGCAGTTGGCAGGGCAGGGCCAGGCAAGGCAGCCCGGGCTCCTCTGCAGGACCACGCCGTGGGGACTCTTAGCCATAACCCACCCCATGGACCCCCACAGCTCAGCGGCCCTTCCTCTTCAAGGTTCAGGATGCACTGCTGACCTTGAGTTTGTATTTTGTTCCTTGTTTCCCTGTTAGGATTACTTGGGGACTTAGGTAGTTTAAACTTTCACATTTTCCTTGCTGTGTACGAGGATTAAGCTAAAGCTGTTATCAACTTCTTACTCTACGGATACTAACACGGGTTTTCAGTGTTTGTTTGTTTTATTATTAATTTTGCGTGATGTGAATACCCTTTCCCATCAATATTTGTATTATGGTGCTATATATTTGGTAATGATCTTTTAATATTGGGAAGGAATTTTAAAATACTGTGATTAAACTGGGTTTCCTCTTTGATTTTCATATTTTAAATAAAGCCACAGTCATTTATACAAAGGGTAAGCATCTGTCCCTGGGCAAATCTTTTGAGGACAGAGGTCAAAGTAAACTGTATAAGGTTTTTACATCATTTCTGTATGTACTTGATATATAGATCAATATCTGTACAAATTTAATCTTTTATTTTCTGGTAACGTGATCATTGAGAAAGTGTTTGAAACTTTCTCATAAAGTGTATATAATGGCGTGAAAAATTCCTTGAGAGAAATTTATGTTCCTTTCATTTTTACCAAACTGCAAATTTTCAGCATGGATGTGAAAAGCATTAAAATTATAACTTTGTGTACAAGATGAAAATAATTCACTAAATTTGCCCTTTTTTACACAAAATAAAATGAAAAGCTCTATTCGTGCAATTCTCTGAGGGTGCGCCATCGGGGAATGGTGGGTTCTGTGGGGGTGCTGGCCAGGGTGTTGGGTGGAGCCCCTGCTGGCCAGGGAAAGGAGCCTGACACAGTGCAGGGATGCAGACTCCTGTTGCCACTGTAACAAAACAGTCCCAGCCTCAAAGGCAGATTTGGAAGATGCTGCTGCACGTGTGTCAAGTGCGCATTAAGCCTCAAAAGCTGAGATTTTTCTGTGTATGCTGGTGACAGAATCCAGGGCCTTCAAATTGAGCTAAGACAGGGTCCTGCTAAGTTAACCAGGCTGGTTTAAATTTGTGATCCTCTTGCCTCCCAGAGGGTGACAGGTCTACACCACCTCGTCTAGCCCCAGAAACTGGCACATTAAATAATCCAGGGACTGGAAAGGATGTGGGGTCACACCACTTGGCGACCAACGTGGCCAAGCACTAGGTTCAGGCCTCAATCCTGAGTCGCAGGGAGGCTCTGGGCCATCGCCCTCCAGGGAGACCCAAGGGGACGCCCTTACCCCTACCATCCCTCCCCACCCCCACAAAGGATGCACAGGTTGCAGCACTCCATCCCCATCTTTATTGGTAACCAAAGCCAGAGGGTCAGCACCTCTACTCATAGATCCAGTTGTGGGCACAGCTCCTGTAGTCCACCAGCTCCTCGGGCTTAAACCACAGGCCAATCTCCTTCTCTGCACTCTGCACTGAGTCGCTGCCATGGATGATGTTCCTGCAGAGAGCAGCGGCCGGTTAGTGCGCTTCCGAGTGCAGGCGTCAGCCCAGAGGCCAGGAGGGTCACTAGTTCCAGGCTGCTGGACTAGAGATCCGTCTCCCAACAAGGCAAGTGTATGTCTCGGTATACCCGGGGACAGTCACTCTGCATGTTTTCAGCTCACCTCCCACTTACACAACTGAGTACCTACTCCAAAGTTTCTCTGTTTTGGTTCGGTCTGATTTGTTTTGAGCCAGGATTTCACTGTGTAGCCCAGGCTGGCCTCGAGCTTGCAGCAGACCCGCCTCACCCAGGCCCACACAGAGTACAAGTCTGTGCCACAAGAGCAGTGGTAGTTTATTTGAAAGCCAACTCTTAATACTAGAAATGTACTAGGCCTAATGGGGTTCGTTTGTAGTCCCAGCTGCTTTGCAGTCTGAGCTCCTCCAGGAGGCTGAGACAGGATGACTGCTTAAGTCCAGGAGCGTGACACCAGTCTAATAAGAACAAAACTCCAGTCTCGAAAAAGAGAAAAAAATCTCCAGGCTAGGGACACAGTTCAAGGGCAGAACACTTCCCAGGGCCCTGAATTCAATTCTTTTAGTACTGAATAAAAATGGGGGGAAAAGATCCCTTGGTTCAACTTACAAGTTCCTCCTCAAAATGTGCTTATACCACAAGGTTGCCTATTGGTGTAAACTAATCTTCCTCAAATTTAAAAAATGAGCAAAACCCTGACTAGAATCTGTATTTCATTTCTTACAACACTGATTTGTAGAACCCAAACAAGACATACATGCTTATATTTTTGAGGTAGCTTCTCAATAAGTTGCCCAGGCTGCCTCTGAACTTGGGATGCTCCTGCCTTAGCCTCCCAAGTAGCTGGGAATACAAGCATGCACCACCACTCTAGGCTTCTATTTTTTATTTAATTTTTTTTTTTCTTTTTTTGGTACTAGGGATTGAACTCATGACCTGGAGTTTGGCAGGCAGGCATTTATGCCACTGTGCTAAAAACCCAGCTAAGCTTTAAGTTTTAAGTAACCTAGGGAAATAGCTATTATGACAGCATTATCCAATGATAATCACCACTTAAAGTTCTAAATATGGGATATGCTCCCCACCCCCACTCACCTGCCCACTTGGATGCAGAAATCCCCTCGGATGGTGCCTGGCTTGGAGTCGGCAGGGTTGGTCTCACCCAGCATCACTCGGCCAGTCTTCACCACGTTCAGCCCCTCCCAGACCTAGGCAGGAAGGGAGACGGGACCTGTTGGGGACCTCATGCCACATCAAAGCCACCAAAAGCACACATCCATCACTCAGGAACTGCTCAGTAACATCCCAGTCAGGTGACCGCAGCATAAAAAAACTTCATTCCTGACACCATGGTGCACACCTGTAATCCCACACTCAGGAGGCTGAGGCAGGAAGAGTGCCATGAGTCTGAGGCCAGCTTGGAATCCATGAGACCCTGTCTTAAAACAAAATGAATCCTTCCCAAATTAGGATACAGGGAAGCCACCCCTCCGGAGGTAGAGACTTTACAAATACTTTAGACAGATAAACAAGAATAAGGAACTCTTACACAACCACAAACACAGAAGATAAGTAGGCTGACTTTATTACTGGAATAATCCGTGGGAGGAGCGCCCAGAAGACAGAGAGGAGAGGGCACTGGTGGCACAGAAGGGAAGACCTGTCCCATTCCACACTCTATGCCTGTTCACTCCCAGCAGGGCATTAACACCATCCAAAAACGCTGCGTCTCCACCACAGGACTGCAGAATTTTGGTTTCATTTATTAGACTTAAAAAGAGTATCATTTTGAGACCTCATGCACTTCAAGCAGGCCTTCAACTCACTATGCACACCAGGCTGATCCTCCTGCCTCAGCCTTCCAAATGCAGGGATTCCAGGAATGTGCCACCATTCCTAGCATACTTACACCAATTTTTATTCAGAAAATTTTAAGTTTCTAGGAAAATGCGATCAAAACGCCAGTCGAGCAGAATATATATATTTAGCCTTTCTTATAGGCAGAGAAGTCTAGCGAGGTTTACTTTAATGGGGTCTTTTTCTTTAAGTTCCGATTCCCCACTCTCAGGCCCTAGTTAACTGAATAATTCCCCGCGGGCCTCATTTGTAAAACTGAGAACTGAGCAGCAGAGAAACAAGTCTCAGCTCGGAAGAGGCGGGCGCTGGGCCATTTCCGGGGTCCCCCTCCCTGACCACTCACCATGGCGACCACAGGTCCCGAGTGCATGTACTGCACCAAGCCGGAGAAGAAGGGCCGCTCCTTCAGGTCGCTGTAGTGCTGCTTCAGGTGCTCCTCCGAGGCCTGCAAGGGGACGCATCAGGACCCGCGCTCCCCATCGGAGGGGTGCAGGTCCTCCAGAAGTCTGGGTGCGGTTCTCAAGCCGCATTCCCGGTGTGCACTGAGACCCCACCCGAGCGAGCCTCGCGAGTGCCGCCCGCCCGCCCTCGTGGTGCCGTGGGACACCGTGAAACGTCGCCCGGAGAAGCGGAGAACCACGAGCTGGGGTCGGGGTTCACATCGGTGCCCCACATTTTCAGCACTACCCCACGCAGAAGGGAGGAAGGACACCGCTCCTGAACTTCCGGACCTGGGTCCAGACTACAACTCCGGGGGGCGCCCAGGCCCCTTTCCTGGGGGCGCCGGACCTCCCGGCCTCGGGGACTCGCGCGGCCGCGTTACCCGCATGAACTTCATGGCCACCAGGCGGAAGCCCTTCTGCTCGAACCGCTTGATGATCTCGCCCACCAGGCCGCGCTGCACGCCGTCAGGCTTGATGGCAATGAACGTGCGTTCCAGGTTGGCCATGGTCCTGCTGGACGCAGAGAGGCGCGGTCAGGGCGCGCGGCCGCGGGGACCCAGCGCCGCCGGAGTGGCCGGGCCCCAGGAGGCCACGTGGACGCCTGCGCCGTCCGCCGCCACCAATGGAGACACCTAGCCTCTCGGACGCGCCCGCCGCCGCCCTGCTGAGTTCCCCGGCCCGGAGGGGGCGCTGCAAGGGTCCAGGGATCAGGGCCCAGGGGTCGGCGAGCCGAGGATCCCGGGCACGGGAGGGCGCCCCGAGCCTTACAGGAAAGCGAGGGCTGCGGCACGGAGCTGCGCGTTGGAGACAACACGGAAAGATCACCGCACCCGAGCGACAGCAGCGGAGGAGGGGCCCGGGGCGGCCACACCCCGGGGAGGGGACCAGCCGCCCAGCCAGGTCCCCGCCCAGCGGCGCACCCGGGGCTCATGAATCTCAGGAAGTCGCCTGTATCCCTGCTCCGCCTGCGCCTCGCCCAGCCTTCTGCGACCCCGTACACTGGACACCCTGCTGCGGGACTTCTTTCCCCCGAGTCTGCGCCATCCGCCTTCCCCTCTAACCCGATGCCCCACAACCTTGTCCTTCCCAGACTGGAAGCTCGGCCACCTGGGCGTTGGGCAAGTCCCAGGACCGTTCGGGCGGTCCCGATCTCCCCCGGCTATTCACTCCTGTCTCCGTCCCAAACCCCAGGACGGCCTGAAACTCCAGCAAGGGAGGCTGCTGGCTCCTGGCTGTCTCCCCGCCTGTCCCCACCCAGCGACAGGGATTCCCGCTGAGACACACCCCAGCCCACACTAGATTCTCCCAGAAGTCACGCGCAGGCTGTCCCTACCTCCTGACTGGCAAAGCCCCAGACCCGCAGGTCCCCACCCCCAGCTTGTGTCCTTAGTGACCTGGCTGCTCTGTGACCCAGCCAGCAGCAGGTTTTTCCCAGCAAGCGCGAACGCAGACCGGGGCCAGGAAGGTCCCGGTGAGGATAAAGGTTTGGAGGTTGCTGCCCATAACACTGGAATCCGGAGCAGGCCTGGAACCCCAGCAACCTGTGAGTCCGAGGGGGTAGGGCTACAATTGGAGCCCAGCCTGAGCTACTTAACCCCACAAGGCCGGCTCAAAATAAAGAGCTCCATGTGAAGGCCGGGAGTTGAAATCCCTACTGAAAAACAAACAAGCCCAGGATGGGAGCCAAAATGAAACCCTGCACTCCCCTCCCCCACACCACACCCAGCCACTGATAAGCAGGACTTCTCTCATGCAAGGGTCCCAGGCCTTCCCCTCCTCAGGCCTTGGCCAGCACCCTCTGCCTGCACTGTGACCAGGCAAGCAGACCACAGAGCAGGCTCTACTACAATCTGAAGTGTCTGGGTCCAAGGGATTCTTTGGTTTGGTTTTAAGATAAGGCCTTGCAGTGCAGGTCCGACCAGCCTTGAACTCAGCAGCGCCCAGGATGACCTTCAGCTGGGCAGCCATGCAAAGTTCTACCTGGCCCAAAGTTTCCTCGGCTTCCTTCAGGCCCACGTGACTGTGACCCGCCCTGGCTGGCGAGGTGCAAGGGCAGGGGAAAGTTTTTAATTCTGATCTCTTTTTTGGTTTTCTGAGACTGGATTTTGCTATGTGAACCAGGCTGGCCTCAAACCCATAGCCACTAAACCAAAACGTTTCCAGCTTCTTTCTTTTAAAGCAACCAAATCAAATCAATGCCCTAACAAACCAAGTTGGAGTTTCTGCCACTTCACTTGAGGTCCCCAGGAAGCCGAGCCTACTGTGCCCTTGCCTGCCTGACCTCTGGAGCAGCCACAGCTTCCACACGGTCTCTTCCCAGGAGCCGCTCAGGGGAGGGTCAGAGGCACTGCCACTCGGGGGCTGAGGTGGCAGAGTTCAAAGACAGACTAAAACCCTGTCTCCAAAAACCCAAAAACAGAAAAGAGGCACAGCAAAGGATGGAGGTGTTTCATTTCTGATGAGTCCTCTACACTGGACAGAGTCCACCGCAAATGTCTGTTACGGGCTCAGTGCCAGGAGGTAAAGCCGCAGGGATGGGGGGGGAGAGACAGGGCAACATGACGAACTCGGCTGCTTCCGTGCTGGGGCAACAGCTCCCAATTTAATCCACCGGAGGACAGAACACTGCAGGGATTGGCGTGCACACAGCTGAGTGTGCACCCTCTGGGTGAGGGTGACAGGGCCGCTCGCTCTGTGTGGGCCAGCTCTGCTACAGTCTGGTCCCTGCCCATGGGCAGGCAAGCGCCACCACTGCCTGGCCTAAGGTCACTCATAGATCCAGTCCTGGGCACAGCTCCTGTAGTCCACCAGCTCCTCCGGCTGGAACCACAGCGCGATCTCCTTCTCGGCGCTCTCCACCGAGTCGCTGCCGTGGATGATGTTCCTGGAGGGGTGGAAAGGACCAAGTCAGGGACATGGCCCAGCCCCCACCCCATGATGGATGCAGTCGATACGGACTGCAGACACAGATCCATAAAAACAAATAAGTAATAATGATGGTCCTAGGCAGGAAGGACTCAGCCATATTAATGAAACAGAAACCCGCTGGGTGGCTGGCCACTGGGGGAGCCAGCAGCCAACCCACAGCAGAAAAGAATGTGGAAAGACTCCATCGGCCATCCCGCCACATGGCCCCAGTGGGGACAGCTGCAGGGAAGGCTCTGCCTAGGTCCTGGGTGCTCTACAGAAGTGACAGTGACAGCACCACCCCAAAGCCACCCCCAGCCAGAGCTGGAAGACAAGGAGCTTGGGTCTCAAATTTCTCTGCACCTGCTGCCAAGGTGTCAGCCCCAAGCAAACCCAAATTGTTGTTTTTTTATTTTTCAGGGTTTTTCTTTCTTTAGAAACAGCCTCACTAGGTAGTACAGGCTGGCCTTAAATTTGTTTATGTGACCCAGGCTGACCTCAAACTCACGGCCATCCTTCTGCCTCAGCCTCCCATGACCTCAGGTCTGCACCACCACACCCAGCTGTAAACCCAGGCTTAGGGAAAGGGAGGCAGCACACACACAGACACACACACACACTCGCCCACCTGCCGACTTGGATGCAGAAGTCCCCTCGGATGGTGCCCGGCTTGGAGTCTGCAGGGTTGGTCTCTCCCAGCATCACACGGCCCGTCTTCACCACGTTCAGCCCCTCCCAGACCTGAGCAGGAGGGGACACATCAAGGAGAAAATCCCCAGGCAGATGCCCTGGCACTGTGTGCTCGAGAACAGGAAAATACCAAAGCCCTGCTGGCCCAATGCCCTTGTGCAGCTGCCCGTCCTGCCCTGGGTGCCCTGCAGCTGCTGCACCCCCCTCTTCTGTGGCTGCCGCAGTCTCCTCGGGACTGCTCCTCCTGCTGTCATTCAGATCTAACCTGGAAAGTCCCACCTCGAGACCACCTAGTCTAAAGTGGTCTGGGTGTCACACTGACCTGCTCACACACCCTCGAACCCCCAACCCTCAGTCCCGCAGGTGTCTGCCACCCTGCCCTCTTCCACCAGGTCAGGTGCAAGTCAGCTCTGGGGCTGAGCTCTCACCTCCTAAATGTGAGGCCCTAGGATGAGTTCAACACCAGAACGAGGGTGGGAAAGAAACACCTGGGCCGGGCCTAAGAAGCGCCTGCCTCGCATCCCCAGAAGCAGGAAAATTAAATTATTTTTCTGACACACAGTCTTGCTATATAGTCCAGGCTGGCTCTGAACTCCCTAAGGAGCCCAGGCTGGCCTTCAACCTACAATCCTCCTACCTCAGCTTCCCTCAGGCCAGGGATGACACTGTACCCTTCTTCAGGTGGGTCAGAGTGCTGCCCCTCCTGATCATCCGACCCCACCAACTCCTCTCCTCTGCAGTCTGAGATCCTCCCTACCACCCTGGCAGCACCCCCACCCCTCTAGCACTCACCATGGCAACCACAGGTCCCGAGTGCATGTACTGCACCAGGCCAGGGAAGAACGGGCGGTCCTTCAGGTCGACGTAGTGCTCCTTGAGCAGGTCCTCCGAGGCCTGTCCCACAGAACCAAGAATGAGACCCAGCCAGCCATGCTTCCCCCACCCAGCCCACCATCTGCTTTTGTTTTGGTTCTGTGAGGCGAGTTATCACTGCAGTCCAGGCCAGCCTCAAGCTCATGCTGATCCTCCTGCCTTGGCCTCCCAGGTGCTGGGATCACAGTCCGGCACGCCACCACACCTGGCTATTTCAAACCAGAGCCCTGAGTGAGTCCTGAGCTCCTCTGTGTGCCACGACCAGTGAGCAGTAAGAGGGACCAGGAGGGGCTGGGGATTTAGCTCAGCGGCATAAGCGCCTGCCTTGCAAGCAGACAGTCGTGAGTTCAATCCTCGGTACCGATAAAAAAAAAAGAGGGACTCAGGTGTCCCTGCAGTTCTGAGCCAGTCTCCAGCACCTGATGTTTAACAGAAAATCCCTTCACGAGGTGAGACACTCCTAAGACTACTCCTTCAAGTCTTTCAATTGATTTATTTTTGCAGAGTTTTGAGTCTTTCGTTTTTTGAGGTTTTGAGGCGCAATCTCATTAGAAAGCACAGGCTTGGTTCAAAACTGTGGCAAGCCTCCTGCCTCAGCCTCTCCAGTGCTGGAATCACAGGCATGTGCCATCACACCCAGTTTATTTCAGTCTTTATAAATTATTTACATATTGAGTTTTTCATAGAAAAGAAACCATGTGATATTTAACCTTCTGCATCTGATTTGTCTGGCTCAGCACCCTGACCTCATGTGCCTCCTGACATTCCTTATAAGATCATCCTTTGAAGCCAGGCATGGTGGCACATTGCTGTAATCCTAGCACTTGGGAGGCTGAGGCAGGAGGATCACTTGGGGTTTGAGGCCAGTCTGGGTTACAAAGTGAGTTCCAAGCCAGTTTGGACTCCATTGGATCCAAAAAAAATGAGAATAGTCTTTGAATTCCATTAATAGGTTCCATTTCATCTTTACAGTCCACCAAAAAGACCATGGGGGTGTGTAATCTCAAGAGTCCCCTTGCCTGCCACCACCTGATAACTCTTTAGCATCATGGATGCCTCCTCACCAGCGGCATAAGCACCTGCCTTGCAAGCAGGCAGTCGTGAGTTCGATCCCTGGTACCGATAAAAAAAGGAAAAAGACAAGACAAAAAAAAAAAAAAAAAGAATCATCTCTGGTTATTTTTTTCTCCCTTCCTTGGATTTGTATGAAGGAGCTTTTGTTTGAAGAAGCCAATCCATCCTTTGCATTTATTCAAATGTCATGCAGGTGTCTTGCAGATGTGCCCAGAGGGCTGTCCCCAAAAGCAAACCAGAGTTCCACAAACACACAAAGTCCCCAGGAGGCCTGAGATATGCTGAACCCTAAGCAGGAGTAACTGATAATGCAAAGATTTCCTTGCTGAGAAACAAGCTTGCTCCAGAGGAGAGTAGGGTTCTAAAATGACTACTTAAGAAGCCAACGATCACTTCCAGAGCTGGGGCAGACACTGCAGTGCTGCAGTGACACACAGAGTTCTACCCTGCTGAGCTCTTTAAGAGCTCGGAACAACCTGTTTGTTTCAGAATTAAGCTAAGATGCTGTCCTGCCGTGGAAGAGTCTAAAAAGGAGGAGCTGGCAAACACCGAATGAACCCACTACAGCGATCACCTATGCCATGAAGGAATCAAAACGCAACTGAAAGGTGCAGGCCCATTACCTGTATAAGTTTCAGGGCCACAAGGCGGAATCCCTTCTGCTCAAAGCGTTTGATGATGTCTCCCACAAGTCCCCGCTGGACACCATCCGGCTTGATGGCAATGAAGGTCCGCTCACTGCTGGCCATGGTCCTGGGGACAGGAAAGTGAGGGATGAAACAGCATAGGACTCCCGCCCACTCATTATCCCCAATCGGATTACTCAATAAAGCTGGTTTCAAGCTGCTGTGCCTACTCCAAATCTCTTTCATAAAACCCAGCTCCTCCCAGTCATCTCCTCTAGCTGAGGAAGGGTCCAAAACCAGAGGCTAATTCCTGAACCTCTCGATGTCATGAGCTTCTATTAAACAGCTGCTGCATAACCCGTACCATTACGAAAGGAGATTTAGAAAATAAGATGTCCTTCTCAATCATCAACCCAGGCTGGCAAACACTGCACCGACATGGAAATAAGATGTGGTAAAAGGTGGTGTGAAATTCGGCTTGGCTCACTGTCATAGCCATGATTTTGGGGTTTAGAGGCTATGTCACGACGACCCCTTTCATTCTGGAAACAGCAACCAGGACCTCAGCCCCCTCAGTAGAGGGCAAAATCCTGATTTCCCAACCACAGGTTACTTAGGCTACACCATAAGATGTAACGAATATCCTGAAGAGCCAAATACCAGGGGAACGAGAGAGAACTGCAGCGGCTAGCAGTGAGCGCAGATCACGCCAGGTACCACGCCGGGTAAAAGGAGCCCGGGCAGCGTCCAGCGGGCCTCCCTTTTGCAGAGGCTCTGCCCACACGGGCCTCACCTTGAAAGATAATCCCTCGGGGACAGCAGCAGCACCTCGGGCCCTTTCCGCCCTGAACTCGACTTCACCTCTTAAGACAGCACTGAATTAACAGGGCAGTGCGATTTTCTATCCGCGCGAGGCCGCCGCGCACCGGCCCGCCTGACCCTTGCACCGGCCGCGGACACCCGACTCCAGGGCCTCGCCTCCGACCAGTGGGAGACCACCGATCGTCACGCCACTCCTCCAGCAAAAAGAGACAAAGCCCAAAGGCAACTTGAGAGGAGCTCAGGAGGAGCTGGGGGCTCCCCAGAATAAGACGCGACTGAAGTGCGGGGCGCGGTCCCTGTAAACGCCCTCCACGCCGATCCCGGACGCTCACCCAGTATCCACTCGCCAGGCACCCCAGGGGCGTCGGTGCTCGGCCCCGGGACGCCGGGGAAGAAGGATCGGGCGCAGCCTCCCGCGGACGCGAACGACGGCAGGACAAAGGCGAGCACGCGGCGCGCGCGACAGCTCGGTCCGCAGACGTCCCCCGCTCTTCCCATCCCTGCCACCTATCAGAGAAAAACGCACTCCTAACCCCCCCGTCCTTGCCGAACCCCACTCTTTTTTTCCTCCTCAGGACCCCGAACCCGTCCTACCTCTCCAGCTGCCTGGGCTTTAAACTCCGGCTGCAGCCACAGGCACCGGAAACGCGATGCGCCCCGCGTGGTTCGGAGAGCCTTCACGCTCGGAACCCTTCTGCGCAGCTCTGCTGCGGGCGAGCCCTTTTCGCCAGAACACCGCTCGCCCACGCGTCCTCTTGCGAGTGGGACCCGGTTCTGGAAAGCAAACTTCCGGTGCAAAACTTCCGGTATTTACGCGTCTGCCTCTGGCCGCCATTTTTTTTTTTTTTTTTAAATACGTAAAAGGTCCTGACTCACTTTCTTCAGCTGCAAACTCGCGTCCCGAGAGGTGGCGCTCGCGGCTTGCGTAAAATTGGAACAAGCGCCTGACCTAGAAATAGAGTTGTGACTCGGTTTACGTTTTTCTTTTTTTTTTTTTTTTTTTTTTTTTTTGGTCTTTTTCGTTTTTATCGGTACCAGGGATCGAACTCACGACTGCCTGCTTGCAAGGCTTATGCCGCTGAGCTAAATCCCCAGCCCCCCCTTTGTTTTTTACGTTTATGCCTTCCACTCTGCCATAATAAATGATATAAGCAATAAATGATAGGCGGGGGGGGGGGGGGGGCTCTGGGTTTGCCCCAGGCACTGCTGCAGACCCTGGAGAGCAGGATGCGGGCGAGCAGGAGGCGAGTGCACGAAAAAACAAGGGATCTGCGCTGAAGGCCAGCGCTGGGGGAGAACGTGGGGAGAATGAGGTGCGGGGGAGCTCCCAGAGGCAGTGGGAATGGAATAGACCTGCACAAAGTGAAGGGAATGCGTGGCGGTTTTCTGGGAGCAGAGACTACATTGGACCCTGGAAGAAAACGCAGTTGAAGCCAGGCTCCATGTCTGTAATCCTATTGGTGGGGAGGCTGAGGCAGTAGGATCTCAAATTCCAATTCATTGGCCAGTTTAGGCTACTAGGGAGACACTGTGCCTTCTAAGGAAGAGAGCCAGCGAATAGACTGATGACAAACACAGGTTCAACATCATTAGCCATTAGGAAAATGCAAATTAGAACCACAATAAGATAGCACTACACATAGGAATGCTAAATCACAAATTCGTAGTGGCGTCCATAGTACTAGCATTCAGGAGCCTGAGGCAGAAGAATCGTGTAGAGTTTGAGACTAGCCTCGACTACATAGTGGGATCATATCTAAAAAAAAAAAAAAAAAAAAAAAAAAAAAAAAAAAAAAAAACAACAATAGTACCAAATGCTGCTCCTAAACTGGATCCATGTTACTGTGGGAATCTAAAATGATACAACTACTCTGAAAAAGTTTGGCAGTTTCTTACAAAACTAAATATGCTTACCATATGACTCAGCAGTAATACTCTTGGACATTTGTCCCAAGGAAATAAGAACTTCTGTTCACATAGAAACCTATGTAGAGCCAGGGATATAGCTCAGTGGTACTGTGAGTTCCAGTGATTCCCAGTACCAAAAAAAAGCCAACAAAACAAACTGCATAAATGTTCATGGCAGCTGTATGGGTAATAGCCAAAGCCTCGGAACAACGTAAATGTCTTCTCAAATAAACACTGAACTAAGCATTCCTGCCGTAGAACATTACACAGCCTGAAAGAACAATCAACCGGCACATGCAGCTCCTCGGGTAGGATGCAGAGGAATTATGCTGACTGAAAAAAGCTTGTGGCTGTAGTCCCACCTACTCTGGAGGCTGAGACAGTAGGATCCCCTGAGAACAGGAGTTCAAGGCTGGCCTGGGCAACATAAGAAGACCCTGTTTAAAACAATAGCAACAAAACCCACTTTCACAAAGTTATATTCTGTTACTTGATTTATATAATGTGTGTGTTTGGAGCTGGGGTTAATGCTGGGCTTCACTCATGCTAAATGTGTACTCTACCCCTGAGCTCCAGCTCCTTCCACCCCTAAATCACTTTTTTGTTTTTTGAGACAGGGTCACTCTATGTAGCCCTGGCTGGCTTTGACATCCTCCTATCTCAGCCTCCTGAGTGCTGGGATTACACATGTGTGCTACCATGCTCAGCTAGATTTTTATTTTTCCGGTACCAGGATCAAACTCACAACCTTGCAATTGTTAGGCAGGTGTTTGAGCTGCTGAGCTAAATCCCTGGCCCTAGATAACATTCTTTTTTTTTTTTTTTTTTTTTTTTTTTGTCTTTTTCCTTTTTATTGGTACCAGGGATCGAACTCACGACTGCCTGCTTGCAAGACAGGTGCTTATGCCGCTGAGCTAAATCCCCAGCCCCTAGATAACATTCTTGAAATAACAAAATCCTAGAGATCAGATTAGTGATTTCCAGGAACTCCAGACAGGGGAGGGGACCTACATGCTTTCCTAAATCGGTGACACAAAGGAGGTAACTGGAGTCTCATAGTAATGGTTCTGTATCTTGACTAGAGTGGCAATTACATGAAAGTATATATAGGTAAAATTGTTCCCAGATGGGATTACACTTGTAATCCCATCTACTCAAAAGGCTGAGGCAGGAGGATCTAAAATTCCAAATCAGTCAGGTATGGTAGTGCTGTACTGTATGTACAGTACTGTAATTCCAATACAGTTCCATTCAGCAAAAGCTGAGGCAAGAGAATTGCTATAAATTCAGGACTGGCCTCATCTACACAGTGAGTTTAAGGCTAGTCTGAATTATTTAGACCCTGTCTCAAGAAAATAAAAAAATAATAAAAAAAAAGAAAAGAAAAGTATAAAGTAGGCAATTTAGTGAAACCTTGTCTCAAAATACATTTTTTTAAAAGTGGAGCTGGGGCCAGGCGTGGTGGCTCACGCCGGTAATCCCAGCACTTGGGAGGCTGAGGCAGAAGGATCACTGCAAGTTTGAGACCATCCTGGGCTACAAAGTGAGCTCAAGGCCAGCCTGAACTACATAGTGAGACCCTATCTCAAAAAGACAAAAAAAAAAATCTGGGTATTTTCCTGTAGAGCTGGGGGTTTAGCTCAGCTGCATAAGCACCTGCTTTGCAAGCATGCCGTCATGAGTTCGATCTCTGGTACCAATAAATAAATAAATAAATAAATAAATAAATGTGATATAGGGGGTCTGGGGATTTAGCTTAGTGGTATAAGCATCTGCCTGGCAAGCATAAAGTCATGAGTTCAATCCCCAGGACCCCCCTGCCAAAAACATGATAAAAGCATGGCCAAGTGTGATGGTTTGTGCCTATAATCCCAGCACTCAGGAGGCTGAGACAGGAGGTGAGCCAGGCTACAAAATGAGTTCAAGGCCAGCCTCAACTACATAATGAAAGCCTGTCTCAAGGAGACAAAAAAAAAAAACTGATGACTATAGGACCAACAAATAATATAAGGGGAAAATATAACTTTAGAGCTGCTACCTGACTTTGTGTTCTCTAAAATCAAAGGATGAATTCTAGGAACAACAGAGGTTAACAGCAGGGAATACATATTGGGGGAAAGAAAGCTGCTGTTTAGGAGGGACAGAAAGGAGTCCCAAAGGGGTTGCCAAGGAGCCCAGGTCTCAAGGGAGTGTTGAAGGGCAAAGCCCTGAGGCGAGGTGGGTCCAAGGCAGGAAAAACTACAATCAGTGTGTATAAGATACAAGCACAGTCGCTTGGGTGACACTGATCCAAGGGGCTATCGCAAGGTGGGTCTGGGGTGGGGACAGAAATGTGGTGACCCACTAAGATAGGAGGACAGCACTGAGCCACGCTGATTAAATGGAGATCAGATGGGGAAGCGAGGCAAGGAACGAGGTACAAGCAGGGACTTTTTCTGAAAGGGAGATTTCCACTCCCCACCCAGCCAGGGGAACTGCTACCTACTCAGGGTGTGAATCACTGCTGGGCACCAGCTTGACTCGGGACGGAGCAGGCACTAATTAATACTAACAGACTGGCACAGAAATAAATTAAGAGTCGTCCCAGGGCTCCGTAACTTGTGGCAAAACACCCCCAGCTGGCTTAAGGACAGCTTAATCTTTAAACCAGTGGCTAGAGCTGAGAGAGCAGACTGGAGAACTCTGTCACCTCAAAGCAAGATAACAGGGCAGCTGAGGACCTGACTCCTGCAAATTCCTTCTAGCTCAGCAGTGGCAACGCACCAGAACTGCACCCCGATCAAGCTGTGCACCTCACAGAGGCCAAGAACACTGTGCCTATGTCCTTGCCTGCCATTGGGCTTTGACCATCTTGGCGCCCTGTGTAGTTAGAATGTATGTTTTGCCTGTGGTTTTTTCTGTCATACCTCTGAGCAGGAGAACAGCAGTCCTCAGCAAGAGCCCCAGTTAATCACTGCTGCTCCGCCTTGGGAGAACTGTGTAGGGGTGATCATTGTTAGAGGTCTGGCCTTTAACCAATGCGCTCCACCCTTAGTTCTAATGCACTTGTACTGACTTATTTCAAGGGTCTAGGCCCATCCGACTGACTAGAGCACTTCAAACTAACTCACCTGTCTATAATAAAAAGACGGGGGGCAGAAGAGTATAATACTTGCCTAGAACAGCCACGGGTTTGATCCCTAGGCCCCACAAAAAAAACCCATGAAACTATAAATATATAACACGACTCAGTGCGTGTAAAACTGTGACATCAGAACCACCACACCTGGCCAGAGGAGGTGTCTTAAAATGGTTTCTAGTAGTTCAGGTCCACTGTGCCAACACTTCTCAAACCTCCACAAAGCCCACCCGAAGTTTGTTAGAGGCAGGTTTTGATGAAGTGTGTCATGGAGCCTGAGAATCTCTCAGTCTAGTGCTGTTGATTGGCAGATTCTGGACGATCCTGCTCTGGGTGAAGTCCTTTCAGATTAATTCTGTAGGCCTTATTCGGAGAGGGAGCATCCTGCCCAGGCAGGCGCTGAGGAGGGAATGGGTGCCAGAAACAGGAAGGTCCCCGTCTTCTGAAAGCCATGCTAATTATGGGAGTCCAGGCTCACCTTTCTTTCCCACCCCTGGACTCCGGCCCAGGCTTCCACAGGCAAATGTTTCTGCAATGCAAATCAGAAACCTGGAAGAGGTCCCCTGGCACAATTTTAGGTGCTAGCATTTATGCCTAAGGCCAAAGATTGAAAATATTTTCAGATGACAGAGAGGTGAACAGAAGAGAAACAACCTCCCTGTGACTGGGTATCTAGATGCTGAACTATATATAACATGAGGAAGAGAGGAAAGAGGAAGTGGGTCCTTGGAATCCAGCAAGGATCTGAAGCAAGGACTGAAGCCCACAGCAAGAGCAAAGAGACCTCAATGCACAAGAAGGAGAGGTGGTAGCTGGCGCTTTCTCCCTAAGCCCTGACTCTGCGTGGGAAGGGCAGCTAGAATCTGCAGATGCGCTCAGCACGGTGACCAAGTAGTGGTGACCCCAAAGGCTTCCACGGAGAAACACACCAGAAGAGCAGAGCAGGGGACACAGCAGCCTACGGCGTTCGGTGAGTCATTCAGGTTCAGATGCCCCCAGGAGAGGGTAAACTGGCCAGTAGCCATCTCGAAGAGGGGACAACTGAGCTCAGGACTCAGAGCGGCTGCAGGCTGGCTCCATCTAGACCACCGGTGTCAGGGTGGAGTGAAGACAAGTCCAAGTTAGCTGGAGGCCAGGAGTTGGGTCCCAGCCTGCGGAGCTGGATTCAAGCCCGCAGGAGGCAGCCAGGATGTTGTAAACTGAACACATCGGGTTCCAGCGTTATAGTCAGAAACCAGCCTGACCTTCAGGGGGAGTGCAGGCCTGCTGGGATTATCCACTGCCCCACCATAACCTACCTATGGTTTGCTGGGGTTAATAAAAATGGACCTCAGGGGGCTGGGGATTTAGCTCAGCGGCATAAGCACCTGCCTTGCTAGCAGGCAGTCGTGAGTTCGATCCCCAGTACCGGAAAAAAGGAAGAAAAAAAAAAAATGGACCTCAGCTTTGCCTGCCCACTCTGCCTACCAGGGGCAGTAGGTCTACACCTTCAGCTGGACAATTTTTCCTTTTTCTTCTCTTCTTTTATCTTTTCTTTGATTATTCTTGTTTTTATAGTAGCATGAGCACTGCTTCTAATTTTTTGCTTTTGTTCTGTCTCGTTCTTGCTTTTATTTCTTCCTTCTCTCTTTCCCTCCTGTCTTGGTTATCATTTTCCCAAACTTTGCACGATCTTCCTTTGTCCTCTAACATTCTTCCTCTTCTTCTATTTCTCTATTTTTTTCCTCCTGATTTCTTTTAAATTCTCTTCCTTGTGGATAAAATCGCCATATGAGGGCAAATTTACTGTGTGCAACTTTCTAGTTTGTTTTAGGCCTTGTTCTATACCCGTAAGTATAGTTCATGCAGTTAAAGGTGGCAGATTAACAGCTACTATAGTTTGTCACTTTATAGGCTGTATGACGTCCTTGTTATTGTTGACTGTTTCGCTTTAGCCAACGTGACATAATTGCTCTAGTCACTTGTTCTTCCTGTTGGGCCAAGACTGGGACTGCCTAAGGGTCATAAACAGTATTATAGGCCAGTGCCAAAGAACCAGGGGCCAAGTAGGCAGCAACTTCTCATCCCCAGTAAGCTGAAGAGTGGGATCTTTCAACAGACTCAAAGCTCCAGGGCAGTGACACCTGGAAAACATCTCTGAGAAGCAGTTATTTGCTAAAGGTTCGAAATACTAGCAATAAAGCTACCTGCAGTTTATAAGTCACAACTTATAAGTACCAACCCAGGAATTAAACCCAAAAAACTGCAAATGAGAAGACATGTAAGCAAGGTATAACAACCTCAGACTTCCAGCTCACCAAAGGCAAACCGGGGGGCAATGAAGTGGGACAATTCAAAAGCCACCTACCTGGACTTTCTGGAGTGGTAACAGCACAAGCAGCACACAGATGAATGAGGCTGTAGAAAAAACCAAATCAGAAATGATCTCTCAAATAATGGTAGAGAGGGGCTGGGGATTTAGCTCAGCGGCATAAGCACCTGCCTTGCAAGTAGGCAGTCGTGAGTTCGATCCCCGACACCGATAAAAAGGAAAAAGACAAAAAAAAAAAATGGTAGAGATGATGATAATAATGAAAGACATGGTTAGTGACTGTAGCATATTCAGATAAAAAAAAATAGAGAATCCTAGGGAAATGATGGAAACCATGAATGCCCAACAGAGGAAAGAAACAGAATTCCTGAAAGAGATACCAACACATATGCAGAACATTAAAATTCCATTGAAAGTATACACAGCAAAATGAATCAATGTGAGGGCAGAATATCAGCTATAGGAGATAGAATTGAGGTTAACTATCATGAAAAGAAAGATTTCTTAAAAATTGCAAGGGAGGGCTGGGGCTTTAGCTCAGAGGTAAAATTCTTACCCTGCCTGCACAAGGCCCTGGGTTTAATCCCTAGGACATCCCCCATACCCTGCCCCCATAAAAAACAGCAAGGAACCCTGAAAAATCAATCCAGCAGCTGCTAGATGACGCCAAGAAAAATGACATAAGGTTGATTGGAGTCAATGAAACAGCAGAAGAGAGCACAAGTCAGATTTTTAAAAAACTGTTCACAAAAGTCATGGTAGAAAACTTCCTAACCATGGAAAAATAATTTGACATACAAATCAGTGAGGCATATAGAATTCCAATTAGTCATGATCAAAAAATACCCCAAGGCATATAGAGTCAAGATTCCAGAAATTCAACACGAGAACAGAATACTAAAAGCTGTTAGAGGGGCTGGGGATTTAGCTCAGCGGCATAGCAAATGCCTTGCAAGCAGGCTGTCGTGAGTTCGATCCCTGGTACGCCAAAAAAAAAAAACAAAAAAAACAAAAAACAAAAAAAAAAAAACAGCTGTTAGAGAAAAGAAACAAAGGAAAGGCCATCAGAATCACAGCCGACTTCTTAACACAAACCCTCAAGTCAAGGAGAGTTTGGAGCGAAGTATTTCAAAAGAAAATAGCTTCCAAACCAGATTGATGTACCCTGCAAAAATGTCTTTCAAAATTGATAGAGAAGTAAGATACTTGCATAACAAAAAAAAAAAAAAAAAACTGATGGAATTCATGACCCCCAAACCACACTCCAAAATATTCAGAAGGACATTCTAGGAAGGGAAAATGAGGACTACCACTCCAGGAACCCCAACAGAAGGGATCCACCAGGGAAAGCAAGTAGTTAAAAAGAGCGGTGAAAGAAGGAAACCGACAACAGGAAAATAACATGACAAACATGAATCAATACATATCAGTTACAATCATTCATGTAAATGATCTCAATTTACCAATCAAAAGGCACAGACTAGCCGAGTGGAACAAAGGCCAAAGTCCAACAATATGCTGCATACAAGGAATATATTGGGGTGGGGATTTAGCTCAGTGGCATGGTGCCTGCCTGGCAAGCGCAAGGTCATGAGTTCAATCCCCAAGACCATAAAAAAAAAAAAAAGAAAACTACATTTAATTCAGAAACAAATTGATAGGGCTGGGAATGGAGCTCAGTGCCACAGGGCTTGCCTATCATGCATAAAGTCCCTGAGTTCATTCTCTACTACAGCAAAACTACATCAAATCAAATTTTTTATGTGTATATGTATGCACATATGTCTATATTTATATATTTATTGGTATCAGCAATCGAACTCAGGGTCTTGCACTTACCAGCCAGGGTCATATGCCTCTGAGCTATGTCCCTGGCCCAAATTAAATTTTAAAAAATTCAAAGACTGAAACTCAAAGAATGGGAAACAATAGTGCATATGACAGGAACCCAGAAAAAAACCATCAGTAGCTATTCTGTTCGCAAAGTGAATTTCAAGCTACCCAACTATGTAAAACAAATACTAACAGACATGAAAAATCAGATACGCACTAATACAGTTGTAATGGGAGACCTCAATACCCCACTGTCACCAATAGGTAGACCAACTAGACAAAAAAAATCAACAGAGAAATATCAGAACTGAACCAAACTTGTGAACAGATGGACTCAATAGGTATCTACAGAGTGTTCCATCCCAAAATATCAGAATACAGAGCCAAGCATAGTGGCATACTCCTGTAATCCCAGCACTCGGGAGGCTGAGGCAGGAGGATCATTGTAAACCTAAGACCAGTGTGGGCTACACAGTGAGCTCAAGACTCTGTCTCAAAAAGTCAAAAAAATACATATCAAAATACACATTCTTCTCAGTGGCACATGGACATTCTCTAAAATGGACCATATCAGCTCATAGGACATGGTTAAATAAATGCAAAGGATTGAAATTACCTCTTGCATATTATCAGACCATAGTGTAATGAAATTGGAAATTAATGGCAAAAGAAACCACAAGAACTCCTTCTGGACCCTGCTTTCTGTGGGAAGGAGAAAGGCAGAAAGCTAGGGGGCCAAGCCGGGCGTAATGACACACACCCATGATCCCAACACTTGGAAGGCTGAGGCAGGAGGATTGCCAGGCGTTCAAGGTCAGCTTGGACTACATAGCAAGACCCTGCCTCAAGACACAAAAAATTTTTTAAAATGTAAGTATAAATAAAAGGATAGGAAAGGAAGCTCTGGGGTAGCCTGCGGTATTTACTGACCAGGGAGGGGAGAGCGACTCCAGAGACTGTCCAGCACACAGTCTGCTGTTGCACCATGAGAGGTGGGCAGCGCTCCATCTTATTCTGCACACGGGGGAACCGAGGCACAGAGAACTGCAGTAACTCTCACCTGACCACAAAACTAAGCGGCAGAAACTGGCTGTGAGTCTCCCTGACTGCGGTGCTTCCCTGAGTTTGTTTGTTCATTTGTTTTTTCTCTTAAAATGCAGGCTCACCAAATCACCCAGGCTGGCCCAGAATCTGTCCTCCTGCCTCAGCCTCCCAAGTGCTGGGTTTACACAGGCCTGGCTCCGTCCACCTCTCTCTAGTCCACCAGCCTCATGGGCGGACCCTGCCACCCTCTTCCTGTGCCTGCTCTTGCACCTAGACGCCACAGGGCAAAGCGGTCCAGAAAGACCCTCTATACTTTCTGTAACTGCAGCTAAGAGCAAGAGATCCTTTTTCTGAGGGGGATAGAGAAAGGGTAAAAGCAGGTTGACCCGAGCCTCTGGAAGCCAAGTAAAGCAGCCATCCCTGCTCCACTCCCTCTCCTAGGCCAGAGTAACACAGGTCAAGTGCAAAGACCCCTGGGCTGCTGGCTGCTGGGCTAAAGAGGTCTTCTGCCACGGTTTTTTTTTTTTTTTTTTTTTTTTTTGGAGGCAGGGTCTTGCTAGATAGTAACTGGCCTTTAGATTGCTTACATACTCCAGGCTGGTCTCCAACTCATGGCAATCCTCTTGCCTCATCCTCTAGAGTGCTGGGATTACAGCCATTTGCTACCACGCCTGGCCAATTTATGATTGAACAACATTAAGGTCATGCTTATTGTTTTGTTTGCTTGTCTGTTTTTTATGAGGAGAAAATTTTTTTTTTGTCTTTTTCCTTTTTATTGGTAC